AGCAATCGTATGACGTACCAAGATATATGTATGACAGGATATACTGAGTGCCAATTTGCCCATATCCTGACCTTTTTCGGAGTGAGTTGTCTGATCACCCCCAAAAAGGCGCTAGCGGGAAGGATAGGTGGTCTGTCTCACAAGATTATGTATGAAGCTACGGATCTCCGATGTCCTTCTCCTCTTTCCCCCTCCACTTCTTCCACTCCTTCCAGATCAACCGCTCTGTCCTGTACCCAATTTGAGCCATCCTATCTATCTATTAGGATAACAGCAGTGCCTCTGACGGTGTGTTATTGATCTATCTAGTGCCGCATGGCGTTAAAGCCCTCCCCCTCTCTCGCCTCAATGCTGACTACATTTAGGTTTGCCATTGATCAATTGAACAGAGCGACTATAACTGCGAACAACCTCGGGCAAGCCCCTACTCTTACTTTCTTACCTCACTCGTTCGAGTAGCAGGGATTGACGGACTGGCCAATACAGTCACCACCCGAGTGACATACCATGATCCTCACAAGGCCGATCGATATCCTAGACTAGATGATCAAATCGACATTGAATTCCATAAATCAAACTTATTACCGCGCGTACTTCGGATAATTTACCCAGGCAGCGCGCGTGTTGTACATGGCTACCCTGGTAGGTACCTCGCCAATCTTCCCTTGTTCTCACACCTGCTTACCTCTACAACCTTAAGATGAACATGGGTGTGGCCTGGGCTGATGGCCGTTCCGGAGTAGATGCAGAATGTTCGCATGAACTATCTTGTTTTCAAAGGTTGGGGTGGGATTGGACCACTCTAGTTGCTGGTTGTGTTGTGCTGCATGAGCGAGCCTCGACATACTCTACCTAGCTCAAAATTGCCTTGCACACCCACACATCACAGCCAATCACTCGGTGCCAACGATCTGCACGAGAATGTCATCGTACCCTGTCCGCCTAAATGGAAAAGATTACCGCCTCTGTCCAGAGCCTCACTCTCATAAACTACCTCATATTGACAGAGCATGTCCTATGTTTTCCTGCCACTTTTTGTGCAGCGGCCACATCTCTTTGGCACCTTCCGTTATCGGTTATCATATTGCCCGGGATTGACTCAGTTAAATTCAATACTATAGTCCTAGATTATCTAGTTAAAACAAACGGATTGGAGATAGATATGAAAGAACAAATGCGTATGGAATACATTGCCAGGCCGTTACCGTTTAATCTACATCAATTAATGACTCTGGCGGGATCTTAAGATCGACTTTATTGAACAATCGAACGGGTCTCGCTTGGATAGATTCTCTACTTTGGGTCGGCGTGTCAAGGGAAGGGGGGAAGGGGGGTATACCAAGCACCAATGTATCAGCCATTTAACCTTCCAGCCCTACGGCGGCTTTCTAACTGTTTTTCCCCACATGCACCCTATTCCGACCGCCCGGATCGTCCGAAATGTCGCCGAATGATGGCTAAGATCACCAATGCAGTAGGCGCAGCACTTGATAGGCTACATACTATAATTAAAAATGATCAAAAATATGCAGCCCTAGCTAGAGTAAATGCCCACCGGTAATTCTTTCTTTCCTTTTGCTAGACCGAATTAACTAGCGGACTTGGCAAATGCATGATGTCGCATGATGATTAGAAGAACTTAAGTGGATTTACCATGTACAGGTATGGTGCCCCCAGTCTTAAAGGTAACACGAGAAAAACGCCAAGTCTCGAATAACTTTTCAACCACGATTGATATTAAAAATATGGAAAGAGAAAAGCTGGATACCATGATGAAGAAGAGTTTGTCTTTCCATATTTTTAATATCAATCGTAGTTGAAAAGTTATTCGAGACTTGGCGTTTTTCTCATGTTACCTTTAAGACTGGGGGAACCATATGTACATCACGATCAATGTAATGATATTTAAACCATCTCATTGTGTCAACCTCAGCTAATAATAATACGAAATCACAGAAGAAATTCATGGAATCCTACTGGCGAATCCATTGCTGCATAGGTTTCAAGTCAGCAGTTCTTGACACAATCGAAAAAGTTGCTACTAGCTTATTTGAGTCATTTCACATTTGTTTTTTTACAGGTGGTAACTAAACAAACATCTAAGTAGCCTAGGGTACATATTGATGTCTAGAGGTACCAAGTAATCAATCGTACCGCTGAAGCACGAGCCAAGTGTTTTGGAAGGCTGCAAGATTCGATCTAGGCATCTTCCTGAAACATACAGGTTTTTCCTGTTGATTTCCTAGATGCCTCGAGGTGTTGGAGCCTAGTTCCAGCACTTTCATTTTGAAACGGCCAGTAAGAGTGCATGTTAGATCTATCGCCACTATCCTTTATCGGGGAGGGTGGGGGTCTACGTACCCCTCAGCTGAACCTTTTAGAAGTGTCAAAAAGTCTAAAATCTAAAAAGTGTTTTAGTCCTATTGCGTGGGAAGTGTGTGTGAGGGGATTTCGATCCTAGTAGGCTGGTAGTTCGTGCGAGAAAGTAACTACAGGACATAAGACATGTCTACATGCATGCCTTGAAACGGTCCCGATCAGTAGCTAGTATCTACTTGCATTTCTGCAATTATTCTTCAGACGGTATGACGATCTTGACTGCGTGCCACGCATCCCCGCAAACCGTTAACCAACGTTACAATCTATTCTTGAAAAGGTTCAATGGCCGGTTCGAAGTTTCAGTTGTTTAGGAAGTTGCATTAGCTCTGAAGAAGAAATGACAGAAATAGAAAAGGCTTGTTCTGCCTATCCTCCTACACCACTCGAAGAAGACATGTTATGAAATTGGGGATCACGCTAAGCCCTACAGACCCACTGACTGAACTCCTTCTCTCCTGCATGCAGTTGATCGAGTGTGTACTTAAGATAGATGAAAGCTTAAGGCCCAACGTGCCCCTCAGCCACGGGGAAGCCCATTACCGGTCTGTCGGTAGAGTGAGTGACCTATCCGGCAAAAAAAGTATCTTGGCATCCTAGATTTTGGGACTCATCAGTACGTGGCTTCGGGGAAAGGTGATGCATGCCTGGCATGGCAGCCATCAAAAAAAAAAAAAAATACAGCAAAAAAGAAACCCCCCGTACACTTATGCATATGTTGTGGCAACACAGCATCCAAGCAAGAGTGGTAACTTGTAAGCCATCATATCATGGTATCCCGTGTCGAAAGTTGCTTTTTACGGGACACGTTTTTGCATCCTATATTTCCAATGATGCCAAAAGTCGTCAAGGAGCCCATCAATAGGTTATCGAGTAAAGTTATTTTTGCATCCTTTTTTTCGTTCTTTTTATATATTAGATCTGGTTAGGCAACCTCTATTCATTGGTCATTAGCATTCGCGGTCCTAACGGCTCTTTTAATAAACTGGTTATTATGAACCCATCCGATATGCACTGCCTAGCACCTCCCGTGCATGATGTGGATCTGGAAAAAAAACCGTTTTACCATCACGTCGAACGACAGAAGCTTTGCACTAATATCTCGTTAATTACACGTGCTTTGGAACGCCTGGTTGTAGATTTCTAATAATTGGTAATAAAAGAAAAACACCAACAAATGATCCCAAACTAGTCGCTCACGGAGATAAAACTAATCTTGCCTGTAAACACCGAGTTATTGGAGGAGACTTCAAATGTCTGATGAGAGTATTCAAAGTATGATAATACCCGAGGAGAAGGTTGGGAGCGGAGCATAGCGATTTTTAGCTACGATACAGACTGTCTCATAGCCCCCGTATTTTCCCGCCATGCTCTTTTGAAACCGGTATTCTCCCGAGTGCCCACAAGTCTCAGTGCACACTATCTCTATATATGCGTCACCTGTCACGACCCATAACTAGCTGTGCGCCAATAACAAGCTCTCTATTGGCGATTGAGTGATCGACTCACCCTCAGATATGATATTACGAGGCCGAGGCCTTTCAGGTGCAGTTTTGTTCTGTCACCCCTTCCCTACGCGGTGCTGACTGCAGGTTTTTCGGCGGGCGGCGGTCACAAGGGCTTTACGGGGGGCCTGACTCTGCTGGGTCATGGTTAGGTCAGTGGCGCACGTGCTGGTGGTCAGGGCTGGATTGCTCGCCGGCGGGCTTGCTTCATGGGATATCACTCGGTTGGTTTCTTGGACACAAATGTGGGAAATATAAGATTTGATGGTATGGAGTCCTTTTTGAAGTGTAAGAAGCTTTTATAGGGATGTGATTCTCGTTTAGGGCCTGGGATGTGGGCTTTGTGCTGTGGACACTGAAATCGGTGTGTTGCGGGTGAGCCCGCTGAGCTAATCATTGAATTACAGAGTACTGATGTATTAGTAGAATATATGCCAGAATAGCGGAAGTTAGTTGGGTTTCAGTAAAGGATATTCGATAAAGATTCTTGGAATTCTTAAACTTCAATTTCCTTTAAGAACCGCAGTGCAACTCATACAGAACATTGTATCCAGAGTCAACTGTCAACCTCTTCCAGAGTTATTCCAGTGCACAGACCACGTGTAAAAAGACACGTTTCTCCTCAGTAAACAGAATACATATGGCCAAGTTTACTGGAAGCATGTTATGGGCGAGTATGACCTCTTGTTCTCTATGAATCACCAGCTAGTTGGCAATGCTCGGAGACTGGGCACACCCGTGAGCGTGATTCAAGACGTATGTTTTGTCTACGTATTTGTTTAACTCCAATCTTATAGAAATTAATTTGCGTCTCTAATTCGATTAGCACGCCGAGGAATGATATAACACAGGCCTTGGTCATATCATGGAAAACATTAGTTTAGTAAAGAGCTATAGAGCTAGAGGTTCACTGAGTTAGCCAGACTTTTTATGGTCGGTTGCACTCAATATCCCGGACTATGGCTCGGGGCTTTATCTCGAGACCTAACGAGACGACTCTGAGGCAAGAAGAGATGCCTAGAGGTCTTTTTCTTTTGAAATATCGAGATAAGCCGTGGTCTAAAATAAGGCTTCCTCATGCTCAAGCTTCTTCTGATTGGCTGAAATTGGGTGTGCGCTTTAATCCAATCCGCCATTTTTGTCAAGGATATTATGGTTCGACGTCTCCTGTTTACTTTTGGAAGTTATTAATGATGAAAAGCTAGATATGTGTATAAGTTCTTACCTCGAATCCGGATTAGTTTATATTAGTTATATCAGTCTCGAGATTCGTCTCCAAGACTAGTATAGGACGAGACGAGACAAAACGAGACTTCGTCCAAACTGGTCTCGTCTTATCTCGCGCCGGCCATCATTGGTCTAGTTGTCCTATCAAGAGCGTTCAGAGCAATAGACTTGGAATTTCGTCCGGTAAAAAGCCCCGAAAATATAATAAATGATTTAAGAGAATAATCCAATATAGGGTTCGGTCGAATTTCATTGGTTTGGCTTGATTTCCCCCAGAATAGTGTTCCTCACGAACCTATTCGAGGCGAGCTCGGGCGTGGACCCGTCTCTTCTCGTCTTATTTTATGAGCCCAGGCTCGCAGTATTCGAGCCTTAATGAATTAAAAAAAAAAAAGCAATATTCGAGCCTGTTCGAGCCTTCTTCGAGTGATGGGCCATGATCCATCAGAATGGTGGCGAAACCCTAGAGCAATGCTACAGAAGCATTAGATGTCCCAACTTTTGACGGACATTCCAAATATAAAGTCACCTTTGGGGAGTGAGTGATCAGTGAGTTGGGAATTAATTAGATACCGCGCGTGCCATTACACTTGACTAAAACTAATATAAATTTAGTGTAGTTAACTTTCCCTATGCTTACCAATCCGAGACAGGCTTGAACAGATATAAAAAAGGTCTCGAGAATTTAAAGCTCGTCTCATGGGAGTCATTCTCATGCTTCGAGCCCGATATCTCGAGCCAAACCCACGAGTCTCGTAGGGAACGCTACTCCGGAATATGAAAATAATGATCTAACAAATTGTGACCAAAACCACCGTGGCCACTATAATTGCAACATCGTAACCAATATCTAGCTTTAGAAACCAAGATTCTCCCCGCTCGATCTTGGAATTTTTTCTAGAGACACTAGCAAGTACAGCAGTAGGTAATAAGTGATGGAACGCTCTGAGATACAGCTATATGTTCCGGGCGACTCGCAAATACCCTGGATTCGCCAATGGACTGCTTGCTCCATACATCGGGGACCGGACCGGTCCATTGGCGAATGGACTGGATAAAGGGTAATGGAATTGGGTCTTTAAATTAACTCGAGAATAATCTGGACTCTACTAGAGCTCATAGGGCCCTAATAAGTAGTTGTAGAGGTCAGTGAAGCTGATAGAGACCACAGGATACCACATATCAGGCGTCAATTGTTAATATTGAGGTCTTAAGCTCGCTAAATATCATGAAGATGCTAATTATTTTTTTAGGTTTGGTCTTTAGGGTCGATGGTTTTTTCAGAGGTTTCTGATGGTTGTAGAGATCATTCAGGATTGATATAAATCATTATTAGTTGTGAGTGATGAACTATTTGTCCTACTAAAACCACAGTATTCCCAGGCCATTCGCGAATAGACTGGTCCAGCCACAGATGTATGAGCCTAGAAGTCCATTCGCGAATACCTCAAGTCCATTCGCGAATTTGTCAAGTCCATTCGCGAATCCGTCATATCCGCCAACGGCCCGGAACATATACCTGCAAACACCGTATGTTGGCGGCGTTTTACCCAAAACAGGTATCACTGTGTCTCAGCCCGTTCCATCACTTATTACCTGTCGCTGTACATACGATCGATGAATCCAACTCTAGAGCTTTCCCTGCCTCGGGCTGGTTTCGGGGATGCAGATGAGAGGGCTCTGGGTGGGGTTTTGGACTCAACAGAATTGTGAATCGACCTTTCTGGATGGTCTATTCTCTTTAAATCCTACGTAGTCAACTATAAATTACAAGGTCATTTTAGGTATATTGTTTATATACATATGTCTAATCTTTTATAGGTGATATTCATATCTTCGTTTCATTTCACTTCATCTAATCTATCTCTATCTCTATCTCTATCTCCATCTCCATCTCTATCTCTATCTCTATCTAGTCTCTAGCCCTCCGTACCATCTATTCTATCTAGGTATCTAGCAATAAGCAAAGAAAAAAACGACCAACGTTAACGCCCCCAGCTCCATATCGACCACCAACAACTCACCTCTCCATTACCCCAGTCATCCCACCCCGTCTCTACACCCTGATCAACCACCACAAGCCCCTGCTCTCTCATCTTCACCTTAAAATCCTCTCTCTCCCCTTCAAACCCATCCCTCAACGGCAGCTCCACCACCACCCTCGACTCTCCATCCCTCTTCATCCACCGCCCCACCACACCCGCAACCAGCGCCGGGTGCTCTGGCGAATAAATCGGATCAGCCGCCAGCACCAGCTCAAAACGCTGTGCCTCCTCCACCTCCGTATCATCCCGCCAGTCCAGCACCTCAACATCAACAGCGCTCTTCAAAGCAGCACGGTTCCGGTCTACGTTTCGCTGCAGGTTGGGAACGATCTCAGGGAGGTCGGTGAGGAGAACGGAGCTCACTCCCAGTAGCGTCCCTGCGGCGGCCAGCCCAACAAGTCCCGTGCCAGAACCAAGCTCTAGAGCTCGAGCACCCTCGGGGAAAGATGGGAGCGGCAGCTGTGAGAGGCGTTTTGAGAGCAGGTAGGAGCTGGCCCAGGTCTTGAGGCCGAGATTGTCTGCGGTGAGGGTGGGCTCGTGAATTATGAGTTCGAGAGACTCGGAGATTTTGAATGTTCGGTCTACTGACGGCATAGCTGCACAGAGTTTTGTCAGAAGGGAATGTTGACTTTTGTACCTTCGGAAGGTCTATAATATCATACTGACCAGTCCTACCACACCGCTCGGCGAGCCGTGAACTCGCAGACTCCCAGATTTGCTCCTGGACGGCTTCATCGGAAATCCACTGCAGTGGACAGGCAATTATGCCAGTGAGCCATTTAGTAAGCCCAGGGGGCGTGCTTTGCTGGTTTGCTGGCGGGCGATCCCATGATGGCGGCGGGAGAGTGAGTTTGTCGAGAGTTTTCAAGAGGATGATTGGGCTGGGCTTTGTGTAAAGTGCCGGTAAATCCAGAACTGGTGGGCACTACGTCTCAGTCTATACTCGATGAAACTTGCTAGAGGAGAGCTCGGGGGAGGGGAGGTTTATACCATGGAAATCTTCAGATTTGAGCTCGGGCTCAGGCTCGTATGGTAATGTCAGAGCTGGTGCCATGTTTTTTTTATATAAAAAAAAGCTTTATTAGGGTACTTGGATTCTGGAGAGCAACAAGATCTGCGGGCCAGCCTACAGCTTGGGGATGGAAAGAAGCTTAAATACTCCCCTGGAAAACTGAACCGGGCAACGTGGAGAAAAATCAACCAAAAAAAATTTCAGCAGGGGCACGCAGGACGGGACTTGACCTGGTACGGATTAGCTTTCTTCCGGGATCCTGTTGGTCGGTGCGCTTGCCGGGGGGGGGGGGGGCGTTTGCCTCATACGTCGGGGCAAGACCGAGATGAATAACTGGAGATATAACAGCGGTTTGCATAATATTAGGCCCAGGGGAGCGCCATAACACACAGTGCGAATGTTCAGGCATTACCTCTCTAGGTAATTCCCATAGCTTCATTAGGCAATCCTGCTGAAAGTTTAAATTGAGATACCTAAACGGGCATCTCGAGTTGCCTAATAGAGCAACCGTGCTTAACTTTGTAAGAATCGTTCTATATGTTATGTTGTTCGGCTGGGCCTAGAATTATGAAAACTGCTCTAATTAATGGGTGTTGGTGGCTACTAATTAACCTACAATTTCAATACAAGCATCAAGAAGGCTAGTGGGTAAGAGGTTTGTAGTGCAGCGCTGCTGTGGCTCGTTGATTAGTAGGGCGCTTAGTTGGCAATTGGGTGCACACCCCTGCTTACCAACAACCAAATTAAGGGAGACAGGGCAGCTTGTCGTGAGTGATAGCTCATGAAGATGGCGGTCTGAGAAATCTCGCTAGCCGTTGCTGTTGTACCACCTGTGCGCATATGTAGGCATGTATTGGCATTTTCACAACAAGAGGCTCGGTATGCCGTTTTGGGGGAGAGGAGATGTGCTTCTAAGTTCTCGTCTTTTTGCACTCGAGCAAGAATCCACCAAAAAAAATCCATCCCACGATCGGGATCGAGGAAATCATGCTTTCTTACCAGCAGCACATGGACCAGAAGATGCGAAAGGGTTATTTGTCACTCCAATGGCCAATGATCCTTCACTTATAACACTCGTATGCTATTACGCAAGGACTTCTTAACATATGTGCAGCAAGTGCAATAGGTGCAGTGCCCTAGGCAAAAAGCCCTTTTGGATTTTGTGGCTACGAGAATTGTGGTGTACCGTGCATGACCTTTGCTCAAGGTGTGGGTGTCTGGGAGTGCCAAGCCTGCCCAAAGTTAAAGGTTTGGATTAAGTGTTTTTGTGCTCCCTGGAGTTTGGGGTTTGGAATTGATCGTTTTTTTTTGTTTCTTGTACCTTGCACTAGTAGTGGCTCATATCACGATCGCGAGTTGTACTTTGGATTATATATTGGTATCAATCAAGTGTGTAATAATTGTGGAAGGCCTTCCACGGGGGAGCCTTCGGAGACTTGTGCACTTTCCTTTTCCCCGGACAAACCTGTGGAGAATATTTTACATAATACGTCCTAATCATCACGCGTGCAATACATGCTCAGAAATCATCAAGCTAAATGCATTTAGAGAAAAAAGAAGAAAAAAAAGGTATCTAAGAGAAAAGAAAAGGAATTCAATTGATTGAAGTGGGGCTCCTAATCTGTATTAACTCTATTATAAGTACCTAGAAATATGTACAGATTACAAAAGGGCAAAGGCCTTGAAAACTCGACAAAGAAAACAAATAGTAGTAGTACTAGTTTAATGCGGGGGTATATCTCTTGTAGGGTAGTGCGCCTCGTCGTGGCGGGGGAGTGATGATGAAGAAGTCCCTGGGCCGGAAACAACTGAGGTGATTTCCTCCAAGATCGTTGCCGGCGACACTGGTGACATCTCTCGTAGGTGTGTGCCAACCTGGGTGTGGTCGGGCTGGCTCAGATCACTGATGGGCCTCGAGAGAGGGTTGGGCGATCCGGACGTCTCAGAAAGATATCCACCGCCATGCAAGTCCGCGTCTATTTCGTAACTGTTAGTACGCACAATAAGGAAATTGGAAACAAAGAGAAATCATGGCACTTACACGTTGGAGATCTCTCAGTGGTCGGCAACTCATAGAACACAGGTGAGGCTGGCATTTCAGATATAGCTCTAGATTCAGAAGGCATCTCCGAGATTGCGGTCGAAGGCTCCGACCCAAGCTCCGAGAACCTCGGGTTCTTACGATCATTAAACTCCCCTTGGGGAAACCCGGGGCTGAGGCCTCCATGCTTTTGGTCGTACAGTGGTGATCCAGGACCGTTGTCGCGGTGCTGCTCCTCGAGTTTTGCGTTCCTTCTGCGCTTCCAGAGCATAAAGCCCGCCACTGCAAGGATTAAGACGACGGCAATGGCCCCTACGATTATGCCGATAAGGGCTCCCTTTGCAAGACCGGGCTTGCCCAGAACGTTGTCGCTGGAGCCCGGGGTGCTTCCCGCAAACCACTGCTGCACAGCTGTGTCGGTCCACCCTAGACTGGGCGCGTCCATCGGGACCTGGTTCACCAAGCTGTTCTCCCAGACCTTTGGATTGACCGAGTAATTGTCGGTTGCTGGGATGTATCTAGTTTCCCACTTAAGGGCGGACATATCAAGCACCGAGATCTCGTCCCATCTACACCATTGAGCCTGCACCGTAAAGGAGTCGTTTCTGCTCCCGCCAACAATTAGCATCTGGTGCTTGTTGATGACATGGCATGTGTGGCGTGTCCTCGCCGCCGGCGGGTCCCTGAGGTCGGTGAAGCGCTGCCATTTGAAGGCGGGGATGTTCAGCACGTACAGGTCGCCCATGTAGCGGGTGTCGTCCATGCCGAACATCCTGGAGCCCGTGCCGCCGCCGTAGAAGTAGATCTGGTGCGATTTCTTGTCGGGGGCGGTGACGGCGACTGCGCAGGCGTGCATGCGGTGTACGGGGACGTCGCCCTGGGACATCTGGACGTGCCATTTGTCTTTTGCAATGTCGTAGATGTGGACTCGGGCGTTGGATTCCTGGATAAGTAATTGTTAGCTTGATGCAGGTTTTAAGATACCCTGAGCTTTATTTACAAGAGTTGTGTTTTTGGGAGCTTTATCAGCCAAATCTTTTCCGTCCAATGGGCTTACTGCCTATAAAAATGTGTCAGATTTTTGTCCCCATCTTTTAAACAGCCGTACGGAGGAGCCTTACATTAGTCCCTGTGTCATTTGTTCCTCCAAACATAACCAAGCTCCCCTTCTCCCCCACAGAGATCCAAGTAACAGCAGCTCCCATAGCCCTCATAGTCCCCTCCACAATCTCTTGATACTACCCCCAACCCCAAAATCAGCACAACCCCTCCCTAAAAAAAAAAAACCCACTCAAAACCTCAAAACCTACCTTCGCATCATAGTTCCCCGTCCCAATCTCCAACCCCACCATCTGCTGCTCCACCGGATACATCCACTCCTTCACACCATCACCACCCGCATACATCCGCGACCCGCCCAAATAGAAGCCCATGCCAATCTCGGGCACATTGACGCTCGTGCCCCTCGCAAAGCGGTTCGGCGTATTGCCGTCAGGGTTGTCCCACGCCTTCTCGAGGCTCCACTTGGCCTCAGCCACGTCGTAGCTGAGGAGCGTCGACTTGTCGCTCTTTACGGCGCCCTTGGTGCGCTGCCCCTCGTAGAGGTAGAGCTTGTTGTCGCGAGTCCACAGGCCGCCGTTGGCGATCGCCAGCGGGTATTCGCCCGGCACGTTGGAGTCGATGGTGTGTGTTACAGGTTTCCACGGGGGAAGGAAGTCGCCGTTGTCGTCGACCTTTTCGAGGCTGAAGGAGGCGGTGAGGTCGAGGGAGATGAATTCTTGGCCTGGGGGGTGGTTGTTAGCATATATGTAGATATAGGGAGTAGGAGTAGGGGAAGGGATGGTTGGATGAGATGGGATGAGATAGAAGTGCTTCTCTATCATCTATGATAGATAGATAGAGAGATAGAAAACTCACTAGGCTCGCCCTCCCACGTTGAAGTCCTATTCCCAAGTTTCTTCTGCAGCGTTTCCTTGATGATGACACGCCCACCGATGAGGTAGAGCGTATTATCCAATACAACACCTAATTTATCATTAGCCCCTGTCAGATTCTAGATGATACATGATAGACGACAAAGGATGGAGTATGATTGGAATTGAGGAGCAGCATACTCTGATGGTCCCATCTCCTGCACAGCTGCTTCAGCGGATACTTGAGTTCCGCATCATCATACGCAGCCTGGATTCCCACTGCCATGCATACCACAAGCCAGAGCAGCAAAGAAAGCATCTGAATCTTCTTCATATTGGGTTTTATTCTCTTCGCTGTGCGGAAGCAAGGTGGAGAACAAAAACGTTGGAAGAGAAAAAGAGAAGGATGGAGAGAGATGGGGGACGGCGGGTTATTATCTGGACTTCCCGTGAGAAGTGTGTGTGTGAGTGAGAGGTGTGTGTGAGAGATCGAAGTGGATGGACCCTTGGCATGGGGTGGGTGAGTTTGACGGAAGGTTAAATTACTGTTTCCAGCCTGGTACTGAACCCGCAACTTAATCTTGCTTTAGAAGCACAACAGCAGACCCGAAAGCACGGGAAGTGGAGTGGTGAGTGGCACCAGTACCTACGCCTTGGAAGAGAGAAAAAACAGGCGGAAATCAATTGGCTAAGGGATAAGGGATAAGTGGGAGTGGGAAAGGGCCCCCACCAAGCATCACCGCTGCGGCGCCGCAGGTGCTGGAACAAGCAAAGAAAAGGAAAGAAAAATAAATACAAGAAATTCCAAGGCGTGGATTTAACCCCAACCCCCCATTAATTCGGGGGAATCGAAGGGTGTGTGCGAGGGAGGGTGTGTGATGTAACAGTCCCCCGTTGTCCCCCCTCTATCTCTCACGAAATCCTCAATCTTCGTATATAGATTGTGTTTGTCGTGGATGACTACAGGCCCGTTTCTAGATCCGGGCTAGAGCAAGGGCGGAGTTATGTTTTGAATGCAAATTCCATACATGGTGGTGGCTAGTTCAGTTACTTGGTGCAACTTTATTTGCAATTATGTGCAATTGCTTTTGTGTGCAATTGGCTCAATTGGCGAAGGAAAGACCCGTATGGATTACATATATTTCCCCACCGAGTTTCTTTAGAAATGCAATTGACATGAGACCTACATGCACGCATATGTGCTCTTGATATCCAGTGCAAAAAGAAGAAAGAAAGAAAGTGCATCTCTGTGCCGCAACGGAAAGCCACTTGGTTGAAATCTTCCCCTTTGGGCGATGTTGTGGTGGTGTTATTAATAGCAATATTTAGGTGTCAGCCACGCAGCTAACCGTATTTGGCCGTCAAAAGTAAATCAGTGTCTGGCGTTACTCCCTTTTGGGGCGGACGAGAGGTACAGTTTTCTTAAGCGTTGCAAGGAGAAGAGTACAATGCAATGGTATTTAGCACGATGGGGGTATCAGCTAGAGTAGAGTACATGTACCTTCCTACTCCGCATAGCTCCATGTACCCTATGTGCTCTACATACTTACCCAAGTACCTGCCTCCTCCCTACTCTATAGATCTACATGGGGAATTACTCTACACGCGCTGCGCTTAGTTTATCTCCCTTTGAACTCATATTGTCCGTGCTCAAGTAAATTAGTACAACGTGGTGCTACCTCACAAGCAAGCAAGGTCATGGTACCAGTTTTTGCAAGACAGACAAGACATTGCAAGTGGAGTGACAAGACAAGTGGAACAGAGTGGAGCGGTGATCCCACAATCACACACACACACTCACACACACATACATCACATACCTAGGTACATGTATGTACATACATGCCCAGCCTATACCTACGTGCAAGTACCTATGTCGGTATCCGCAAAATAGATTGGAAGCCTAGAGAACCAAACACCCAGTACCAAGCACCACTGATACCTCCCCCCAAGAAAAGAGTTATTTCTAGAAATACATCCATCTGACCGGTGGTGCGGCCGGGTGCGAGATAGGTATTAGTTATCCGCCACCCTCACAATTTCTCACTCGTTCCAGATCGTGAACGAAACTAATACGGCCGGTTGGAAAGGAAAAGGAAACATGCCTATATGTGTACCTATGCCTTGGCGATCGATCCCCCGCTATACCGCTATATATAGCCTAGCTTGCAGTGTCTCTCCTCTAGAGTAAAGAGCAGTCGGGCAGTGTTCGGTCCTGTGACGCTTTATGCTAAGTTGACGTTAGCCGACAGAACTTGTGGAACGTACATGCACATACATTGTAGCGTGGCTGATCTGGCAGCGGGTGGAGGGGAGGTGCAGACTGTGCAGTGCACCTGCTCACCTGCTCACTTGCTCACCTGCTCACTTGCTCACTTACTCACTTGTTCACTTACTCTCACTCTCATCCACTTGCCCGCTCTCTCTCTACATACAACAAATCGATCCCAAACCCATGCTCTGCTGCCCCATCCACTATCAATTATCAACCAACATCTACTGCCACCCATGAGTGCATGTAATTGCACTCAGCCTTATCCCCCATCCCCCATCTCCCCCTTCATCCATCTCAATCCCCAGTTCTCCCTCCATCTCAATCCCTCCCCATCCCTCCCCATGCCTCCCACCCGCACTCCAAAAAAACGTGGAGAGACATTTTCCCTTCCCCCATCCCCGGTTCCTAACATCCTCTTCCCCCTGCCTGTCCGTCTGTGCCAACCGGACAGCACCCTCCCGCCACGGCCATATAGCACTCGCTGCCGCCCCAAATGCAATCAATCCATCCACTCTATCTAGCTACTCGGTTACCAATATGCCCCCCCCCCCCCTCTCTTTCTTCAGGTCGCCGAACTTGTACCTTCCCACCCAGTCTGCAGTCTCCCGTCGGAAGGATAGGTTAGTACACGCTTGCAATGGAATGGAATGGGATGGGCACTTGATTGAAAATATGTAAAGAAATAAACTTTGTCCCCCCGCCGGCTGGCTCCCGCTGTACGCTTGTCTCGTACGGGAGGGACTGTGTCCCTTCTGTTACGGCCCTTCCCGTTTGCTGTTTCCCGTGACAGGTGGTTGTAGTTTTCTGCGACGGGTAGAGAGAGTACTCGTAGTTAATTGCAAAGCAGCAATCCAGCTACATGCCATGTATTTAGTGTTTATAGGACAAGGCAAGACAGGGAAGGTGTAGTACGAGCCAATGAGAAGGAACCAAACTGCCAATACGGTTGGGCTTGGTTGCGCTACTGGTTTTTAATCAATTAATTAATTGATCCGTCAACACAACACCCATTAATGCCCGTTGTTAATTGTTTGCCGAGACCCTGACCCTCACTCAACAAACCTTGTTGACGGTAACCCAGGGATCATTGGCCGAGTGACCACTTATGATCCAAATCACGTACGTACTTTTTAACTCTTACAGAAGATGAAAATTGTTTCTCGTAATTTATTTCTGTATCTCACTCGAGCTGATCTCGATCTACGTAATTATACAATCTTTTTATCAAAAAAACAAAAGGAAGAAGAAAATACAGGATGCTAAAATCGTCAAAGGAAGAATCACATGCTCACCCCGCAAGCCGGAATACAAAACTCCCAAAAGCGCCGTCGACCAAAGCAGTGCAGCTCAGCACAATCGAAGCAAATAATATAAAAAAAAAATTGAAAAACTACTGAAAAACACAAGCATAAAAACAGCAGCAGCGACGCTAACAAAAAAGATGCAGAAACAAAATAAATGCCACATAATCTAGAGCTTAATCGTCCATCTCCATCTCCATCTCATCCCCAGGCGCATCGCGGCCCCCCGGTCTCCATCCAAGCGCCAACCCCAATCCCCACTCTATCCACCCCACTTTCCTCTCCTCCCGCAGCCCAATCATACTAGCCCTCGCCTCCACCTCCTCAACACTCCTCGCAAACATCCTCAGCGCGTCTTCGACATCCGTCATTTTCCCCCTCACGTTCCCAAGCTCGTACTGCATCCTTGCGCCTATGACCTCAACCTCTCTCACTGCTTCTCTCAACCCTTCTTTCTGCCGCTCTAGCACATCGCGCTTGGCGTCCTCCATGTCTGCCACGATCGCGCTCTGTGAGTTCCGGATCGCGGTGATGTCGTCGAGGGTCGTGGAGAGATATTGATGCAGGTTTTCAACGGTCGTGATTTTGCGCTCAACCCATTTTGAGAGGGTGGGGATGTCTTCGGCAAGACACCTCATGAGCTTGAGTGATGGCAATTGTGCGCCTTCGGATTTCGTTATGTCCGACAAGGAAACCCAGTCAAGGATAGCCTCCTCTGCAATACTGAAGGAAAGACGCCGGGGCCAATATTCTTCGTGGCGTGGGGTTTCCCAGGATCCGATTACCTTGGTGAAGCTCTTTCTGCGCTGTAAGCCGATCTCGACATTTCGGTACAGGGTTTCTAGCGGGTATTCAGTGGGAAATGTCTCGTCGCTCCCGGGACGAGCGTCCACATATTCTTGCACGTCCTCATCGTGCCCTTCCGCGACGTGAGGGTCTTTTTCATGGATACTTCCAGTAACACTATGGAACCCAGTCATCACGCCCTCGGTGGGGCTTTCAGTTTGGAATGACATCTTGAGGATCGAAGTAGTCGGGCTTTCGGCTGTCTGTCCCTCCTTTTCGAACCTATTTAGCTGTGCCCCTGTTGCAATTTTCAAGCTTCCCCCATTGAGACGTTGTGTGATTGTTCCACTCTGTTCAATCGAATTTTGGAACTCAGCCCCTTCTATCGAATGGCTTTCCTTCGTCGGTGCAGACCGCTGGTGCTGGCCACGGCCCCTGACATAATCTGCACCTGCTGATATTCCCGAAGCAACATCCTTCATACGCCCTGTCATTGTCTTGAACACAGCCTTTCTAAGGTCAGATACCCCCGTGGCATCCTTTGTGTCACTTGGATTACTCGAGGCACCCGCACTGCCGCTTCCAACTGACCCGTTTGAGGAATGTTGATTTGCAATCGGGGAGACAGGATTTTCGGAGATATCCTTGCCAACCTGCTCCTCTTCGCTGATACTCCCATCACCTAGGCTGTTCCGTCTACTTTTGCTACCCTCTGGTGGAGATTGCATGCTTCCAACTCCAGGCACACTTTTTCTTGGCTTCCCTTGCCACAGAAATTTGCAGGTCTCACCCGTTAAATGCAGCACAAACTTCTCGATGTCTGTTGTTTCCACAGCACTTCCTTCAACCTTATTCGATGAGCTTCCCACGGCTCTACCACCAAGATCAACAACCGTACTTTTGATGGCTCTTGGGACAGCAAAAATATCCCCGGAAGCTCCTGTTCCATTTTTCATTGTAAATCTTTGGAGTCGGTCCATTGTTTGTCTGTCAAGTCTCCGAGTTCTTGGTATGCGCTGCTGTCTTTGAAAGTGATATATTGCTTTCTTGAACTGTGGGATATCAAATGCATCCTTCGGTACGGGCGCACCGCACGATGATAATCTATTCCTAGCACCCAGTACCATCCCCAGCAATGCAGCAACAGTTGTCGGCCCCATTATTCCGTCATTAGGCTCAATATTGTAGAAATCAGTCCCGAACTGTGTCCACCAGTCATAGATGCCCCTCTCGGTGATATCGCAAAGCAGCCCATCAGCGTACTCGGGTTTCAACTGCTCAAAAAGCGTTAACGCAATCTGGCACAGCCTTACAAGCTCAATGACAGCAGTGTAAAAAGGGATTCTATCGCTCGTGCGAAACAGTTGGTGAAACTTGGTTTGACTGGCATCCCCGGGCTTAGTCAAGCTCATTGCCGACCGTCCAGAACAACCCATCCGCTTGAGATCTTCATTCACGATAAAGTCCTGACGATGCTTCCGCATATTACCATCAGGCACAGCAACGACCGTCAGCGCGCTTGGAAACGAAGACAGATTTGTCACCATCACAGTCCCAATGGGGGTTTGCTTGGGCCGTGCATGGAACTTCTCGACAGCCTTGAAGTAGACACGGAGGCGTGGGGACCACTGGGATTCATCGAGAGGGATATCTAGAACCCCGACACAGACGATGTGTGAGGGGTCGCCGGTATAGGTGGCGATAACGAACGTGGGATGGATACGGGAGCACGCCCATTGCTCAACGAGATAGAGCGAGTACCCCGGGAGTGTTCTCTGTCGGTACACCACCGTAACACAAGGTTCATCTTCGAGATAGCGAAAAGCTACCTATGTTACATTCGCAGATCGTGAGTAACAGGATAAAAGTGGGGGACTTCGGATAATTCCATAATTATTTACCGGATCACAAAACACAAACAACTGTCTATCCGCAGCTGGTGTAAGTTCTATCGAGGCTCTTTCCTCCACCGTACTTCCACTCCAGCTCCCCTCTCCCTCCCTCGGCAAGCCAACCAGGCTTCTCGAGACTGAATACCCATTCTGGGGCGACGGCGTAGAACTGGTGGGTTGTTTGTGGTTATAAGCGTTTCGCTGGAGAGTCTGGGCAGCTATGTTTGAAGCGGACACAGGGGCTGTAGGCATCGTCCGCAGCAGCCTGCAGCATTTCGGGGGGGCGTCGACGATAGAGATGATTCCAATACTCGATAGAGCGGGTATGTTGGAGACGGGAACCTGTAGGTATGACGAATGAATGGAGAGGAGGGAGAGAGGATAGATGGGGGGTGGGGGAAGATCTCGAGAAGGAGTGTGTGTTTGAGCCAAGAAGTCGTTGAGCTCCTAAAATCCAACTGCTGCAGCATGCATGTGAGCTAGAAAGGGGAAGTCCGTGCACGTGGTGACGATCTTGTGTAACCATCATCCCATCCCCGCGATGACAAGTGGAAAGCTACACCCTTCGTTCAACCCCACATTCTGGCACATGTGGAGACGTGCGGACGATATTAGTAAACAGGCTTCAGTGGAGAGTACCGAATCAATCTAACATGTGCCTCAAAACGCAGTACCTCCGTCCTCTAATCTTATTACTACCATATAATGCTCTGAGATCTAGCTCTAATTAACAAGTAAAAAGGACTAACTAATATATTAAGTAGAAAAATTTAAAAACTAACAAACAAAATCATGAAATAAAGAAAACACGGAAGTCATTCTATCCGGATAGCATGAACTTGCACCTTTACCTTTGCTGATTGGCTGTTCGCAGATGTTCCGTAACAAATCTATATTTCCATTATTCCTACTGGCTATAGACATCACGTACGTACATACGTACGTACCCTGGCTTTTCACATGTTTTTTCAGTTGGCTCTGATGTCAGTGCCCTTGTCAATATTCACCATCTATTATCCAACTGAGGCACCTCGTGATGCACGTATTAGCTGTTACAAATATACACATGGAGCAAGAAATACAAACAGAAAATTAATTGCTAATAATCATCGACATGCAGAAGACTCTCTTCTATATTGCCCTAAACATTCGCGCACTTCAAGTGCACAGAAGATAATCCATTTCTATACATATTCCCACATTTTATATTTAGTTAACCAATGTTAAGAGGGCTTAACGTGGTCATTAGATTTATTCAGCCCTTTATAAGATACGTGTTCTTTTCATTCACAGGATTTTTACTCGGATACACGTTTATACTTGCGGAGAAAAAAGAGGCCTGGCTAGAAACCAATCGTAAATGTGTCAAATCAAGCGGCGTAGCGCAATTAAAGATGATATACATGTAGTTACTAGCTCTTACGCGGGGATATGCTGGCCAAGGTCTGGTTCCGATATGAGTTTTAGTGCCGGGGAGGTAGAGGAAAGACAGTTTTCCGGCTCCTTATGTATCAAGACTCGATCAACTACCGTAAATTTTCAGAAACAACGGAATGAACTTACACTCAACTGCAAAAGCCTAGGCCTCCACACTTTTTGTGACCTACCCGGGGCTGTTTTAATCCCTCCTGGCGGAACTTCGAACCAAAGTGTCAGACAGTAAACTGGCCGGCTTGTTCAAAAGAGGCCAAAACTATTCTGTTTCTCGTCAGCTAGCTTGGCAGGTCCTACTTGCTATAAATATTCAGCCCCCCCACAAAAAAAAACTCTTTTAAAGTTCACAGTACTGCTTCCGGGCTGGTTCCTTCAGCAGCACGCCCTACCTCCTTTGACTTCCCTGGTCTCCTAGTTTAATTTCGAATTAGGAAACACGGCTCTTCTATAGCTACCGGTCCCCCCGTTCCAACCTTTTGGGCGAAGCTACGCTTGGGGCATTTGGTGGTATGTGGGTTAGGATTTCTTAAATTTTATTTTCCTAATTATAATTGTACATACTTGTAGACCGTACGTATTTTTGTAGGTAGTTTTTGTTTAATTGCGGTATTGTAAGTGGGGGCAAAGCTTAGACATGGCTTGGCGTTGGGTTTTGGTGCATTCCGATCATTTCCTCACCTCACCTAGTGCTAACTAACTTGTCCCCCAATGCCATTCCCGCCCCCTTATGTACTCAACTCCTCTTCCCTCGCACGCAAAACATAGTAAAACAACAAATCAGTTGCAAGAACTTTCATACATGTAAAGAAAAAGAAGCAGCGTCTGTAGATCTATACTAGTAGAGCTAGAGGGCCTTCTACCAATTAGAACTAAATCCTAAGCTAGACCTTTATTGATAATGATCTGATCTCTATGTGAAGTAAGAAATCTAAGGTGTTATAATTATCCACCCTCCGTCTATGATTCGTTTCGGTATAAGCTCATGGACCAGCATCGATCAAGAGACACCAAATATCGCTCAAGGGTGGTAGGTAATACAAGTGGCCTAGTCTTACACCAACTCCATACTAGATGGTAACGGGAGATTCGGTGTTTGAATACCGGTGGGTGGAACATGTTGTAAGTAGGGATGTTATAAATAGGGTGGTCCAACTAAGACATTGTAATTTAATCATGACGTATCACTCGCATCATCATCGCATCTTAAAAAGCGATAGCGTCATCCCACTTCCTTCCCACATTGAACCTTTCGACCGATCAGAGAGAGTTTTTGGCTTTTGAAAGCACGTCTTAATTTTTAATAGCAGCACAAACAGATAAATTACCATCACAGTTCCCAACTAAAGCCCTATCCATACCAAATCCATACCCGTCCGTCCGTCCGTCCATATACCAACCTACCTAACCCGCCATTTTTTTGTTAAGAGATATGAAGAGAAAAAAAATAAGACGCCGCCATGATAAAGAGATAAAAATATTTATCGAAGGAAAGAGAGAGGGGGTTAGGAAACAGAAATGATAACCAAGCAAAAGAGCAGAAATACAAGATGCCACAGCCTAGTTCTACAACAACTAATCTGCATGAAACCCACAATCTCACAGCATCTCATCATCCTCATCCACCTCTATCTCCCCACCATCCTCTTCCTTTCTTCTCGCCACCCCGCCGAAACCGATACCGCCAAAGCCCCTCCCAGACACATCCCCGCCATCAACGGCTCCCACTGAACCGAGTTCCTCTCCGCCCATGACTCGCCCCTCGACATCTGTCTCCTCGCATAGCTCCATCACGCTTCTTCTGCTCAGTTTCCTGAACCCCATCGTGCGGACAATCCGTCCCCAAAAGGTCAGCGCGAAGCGCGCCGCCTTTTTCCTGAGCGCCTCTTCTCCAGCGGTGCCGGCGCGCTCCCACACGACTGCGGCAGACTCGATATCAAGCTCATTGAATAACCTACCGAGGGCAAGTGTACGTAGCCGCTTCATATTGTATATATTTGCCATGACTAGGAGGCCGGCGACGACGGAAAGGTTGGCGCAGTAGGGGGATGTAGCGATGGAGTCACTGTACAGGTAATACATGAACGCCCTCACAACCGAATATGCTTCTGGCAGATAAAGGCTTCCGCGATGGAACTCTCTCATACGGGCGTTGTACATTGTCGCAAAGTGAGGCCATCTGGCAAGGAGTATGAGCTTGTGGACCTTAATCGGGGGTCCCATGACCTGCTCCGGCGGCATGTCAGGGTCCTCGGATGATGGCATAGGGCTGTTACTGACGCTACTGCCCCAAATGCCGCTCATGTCCCATTCGTCGCCTTCTGCAGCCTCGTCCTTCATCGCACGGACAACGAAGTCTGCGCCAGTGTCCATTTCATGGTTGTCAAACACCCTGGCAAGGTCCCAGCCGAGCGTGCCATTACGAGGATTTTCGCCTTGCCGCTGTCCAATGTCGATGCCGATTCGGCTGAGATCAATAGGGAGAACATCCGAGAGGTACTCCTCGCCTTCGCCGAGACCAAAGTCTTCTTCGTGAGTGGGACACCCGAGAAGATAAGCCATTGTGCTGTTAGGTGAGATAGCGAGATAGTGCCATCTCCATTCTCCACCACCAAAGATATCGGGGCCGTCGGCCATCTTACGCCATGTCATTTCGTTGAGGTCCAGCGCACATAGGCCCGTCTCTGAGGGATCAATAGTGTTGGCTGAGGTTACAAAGTCCAACAGAGTGTTCCCACAAATGTGGTGGAAATGGGTTCCATGAGCTTCTGAGGGAATATCACGACCCCATAAAAACCTGACTGACGAGGTAGCAGCAGGAACAAACTGCTTCTTCGGCGGCGGGGAACTCCGTTGAGACAGATTGATAGGTCTTGGGGAATTTGGCCCATAAGGACGATGTGAACGAAGCACACGACTCTGGCCCACGGTTGGCTCATTACTGGCGCCTGCCTGTCGAGTCACATATCCCGTCTGCTTGGTATCTGTTCTCGCGAACGCAGGATGGTTCAGATCCAGTGAAATGAGTTCCCCCGTTCGATCCATCTCTTTCCCCATACCACCGAAAACCCACAACTTACCATCCCGGACCCAAGCCTGATGATCGAATCGGGCGATCCACTTCCAGCTCTTACTCCATGTCATAGATTTCAAGTCAAGGTAGCATATATCGTCTAGAACCTCTTGCGGATTGTATTCCGTGTCATCTTCTATGGCACTAGGATTATTATGAATGCCACCCAGAATGAACAGCTTATCCTCATGGAGCACAACCGCGTGGCGGGAGCGCCCGCTAGGAGGATGCCCCTCCACGACTGGTTGAGACCAAGTTGCTGTGGATATATCGAATATGTAGACATCAGAGAGAAACATTCGGTGTTCATTCTCGCCCCCGAAAATGACTAATTTATTATCGCGCCAGTAGGTAGTAGTATGCCCTAAATTATTTGACCCAAGCTTATTAGCAAGCCGAAACGGGTAAGTCAACTATTAGTAGCAACTAGGATGCGGCCCAGTTCCTAAACACATAAAACCACACAAATCGCCAGGGACAAAACTAACAACAAAAAAGAGGGAATGACGATGGGCAGGAAGAGACAAGACAGAAACCACCATACCCATTCTGACACTCGGGATGTCGCCATAATTATCAACCAACGTCCACGTGTAAGTATGCAGGTCCAACTTCAGCACGTGATTATACACTGTCCAACAAAGGAGAAAAGGTCAGCAAATAAATCTTCAAACCCACCCCTGCAAGGGGAACAACCTCATCGACCCAACCAACATTGTGAACCATACCTTCATCCGTATACTGATCGAAGCCTCCAAAGGCATAGATAGCCTCATCATCTCCACACACAGTGACCGAAGCATTGACCAGACAGGCCAGCCTAGCACCTACAATCCAGATCACCATCCGCATTAGCACCAAGCACTAGCAGCACTGTGAACGGTCCAACCACGCAAAACCCAGCAACCAGCAGCAACTCTAGCCTTCTTTTACGAAACATTCTCACAACACTACACTGCCCCCGCCGCCACCATTGACATCGAGAGAAATAAATCACCCGAAAACTTGCACAAACCTTCAGTCCTATACGCCACCGACCTATACGGTCCCCCAGCACCATTACTGGCCCCATCGTCGGCGCTGCCGCCGTCCACGAACCGCTTGCGTCCATGAAGGCTGTTGCTACTCTTCTGCATCGGAGGCGTAGAGAAGGATAGATTTGAGGAGTTTGCTCCGGCGGATGCAAAGATGCTGTTCATCGCTTGCTCTCGATTCTGCACAGGCGTGAAGGGTATGTTGGGCTGTAGAGACATGTATAAATGAGGCTTGTATTTTAATAAAAAAATTCTGCTACGGACAAAGATGAAGCAAGTATTTACGAGGGGTAACGATATAGTAATAACAAAGGGTAGTAGAATGCAATGCAGTAGTTGGTTTAGGGATTGAATGGATGAGGCTTAAAAAGTGCGCACAAAGAGTGACGGACCGAATAAGGAAGGGATGGGGGGGTGGGGAGGAAGGGATGCAAGAGAGGGACCTCGGGGAGGAGAGAGGGATTTCGGGGAGGGAAGAGGGAGGGGAGGCCGGTAACTCGGGAAGCCGGATGACAGATATTACTTTGAGGGGTGGGAGGCCGAACCTTCAGATATCGGAGGGGTGTGTGTGTGTGTGTGTGTGTGAGCGGCTGCGTCGGAGTCGGCGTCTGTGTGGGCGTGTGCTTGTGTGTGATGTGATGGGCTGATTACTGGACCCGGGTAAGGAAGGTTACTAAGAGCTAGGTAAGGTATATAAGCTACGGCCCGCTTTGTACCAGGAAGTATGAGCTCGTCCAGTCAGTCCAGTCAGTTAGCAGGTCGGTACAGCTAGATACAGAACATGTATCAGTACATGTAGGTATCGCAGAGTAGCAGAGCCTCAAAGTAACTCAGAGTTCGCAAAGATTTGGAAAGACGTGACGTGGGGGTACGGTGAGAGAGTGCTCAAGAGTGGGTCGTCCCAGCGCAGCGCGTGAGGAGGAAAGAGAGGAGACCGCAGACGGACCTGGATCATTTGCCTTATGTGGTGTGGCTTGTGTAAATGGTGTGATGTGGCTGTGGGAGGGATGGCTGCACAACCTTGTCGCTGATCTGCATCGCTTACTGGCGTATGTGGTGGGGCATTTTAAATGATGTGAGCCTTGCTGCAACGCGGGGTGCGGCTCCCCGCATTTTCTGTCATCATCATCACCACCATCACATCACCACCACTACCAGTGCTGGTATTAACAGCCGAGACGAGATTGCACTGATCCATAGGCCCTCCTAAGATGTTTGGCGAGAATTGCTCAGGTGTGCACATTCTGATGTGTCACCGACTGCGTGGTGCATAACTTAGTCCCAAGGTCGCTTTGTCTGGGGATGGATGGTGAATTCAGAAAACGGACGTGCACACGTTTCGAGTATCCCAAATAAGACGTCTATTTGTTGAAACTCCCCCCCCCCACCCCCAAATCCATCCCCCATCCCCAGAAACAAAACAGCTCGGAACCAAGCTCATGCACCACACAGTCACATCAAAATGTGATGCAAGCCTCTTCCCAGGATCGTGGGATAGCAGATCGCGATTTCAGATACCACAAGAAATCGGGCACCACTCGGGCCGATTTCCTATTCTGGCTGCTGAACTCGCTACAGGCAGATCCCACATTACGGACTGGCCACGAGCTCAGACCTCAGTATCATTTACTGTTACTTGTTTTCACTCAATTACATCGGACCGGCGTGACAAATGGGACTGGACAAGCAAGATGAGATTTGTAGCACAAAGCACAACAGGTTTGCCTCGTGAACTAGGTAAACCATCAACTCTCAGGGTCGAGAATTCAGGTTTCTTGAAATTCACGAACTTGGGGTACTTGAAGGGCTGTACAGTGTAAGTACACGCCCCATTCCTGCAGCAGCGCCCGAGGTTCGGAGTTTTCAACAACACATATCACTAGAATTGGTTCGAACCTATGACTCTAAGCCAAGTAGCAACAAATTTAGACCCCAAGCTTATAATTAGCAAATGGGCAAACGATAGACGAGCCGGATAACGATGATCGCCGGACAAGAGCTTAATTTACCCTTCTTTTAGCGAAAACCACTAGGGCGCTGGGTTGATGTATTTATATCCTTTTGGAATGGGGCGCGGCGAATTAGGAAACAAATGGCAGGGATTATGGACCCGTGCACGCCGCACCCGTTCCCTTATAGGGCTGAGAGGTTTGGTTACCATGATTGAAAACCACAAGTCCTAAACGACGACACACAAGAACACAAAAAAAATAACAGGCGGTTTCCGGTTTCCGGTCCCCAGGAAACAGTCACTGTCATGCAAAGCTGATAAAACATAAAGCAAGTACGGCAGGCCGGCTTGCTTTGTAACCCAAATGAATCTTTCGCGGAGTTGGGCGGGGGGCACAGCATTTGCAGCAGGCATTGACAACGCACGATAGATTTATGTAACGTTACCTTTACATAGGGCTGGTTTTGGATGTTTACAAAAATAAGGCAGGGAAACATCGGCGCAAAGTCGTGCACCATTTGGATCTTTCAAAGCCGAAATCTATATACAGATCGATGTTTGCCTTATGAGCATATCAACTCTAACTTTAGTAAAAATTTCCACTATTTTATTCCCACTCCGACTTACAAATCCAAAAAGTATAGGCATGTCCCCACCTGTCACAGCATGTATTTGTGAGAATTATAAGGCATCATCACGATCCTAACCAAATCACAGACCAGCAAAGCACTGCCAACAATATCATATCACCATTCTAATATTCTCAGTTTTCCCCTCATCTCCCATAACGGATATGAAATCCACGCGCGGGCCAGCGGAGGTGTTTATATTTAGTGATCTTACAGTACAGTATAGTGCGCGCAACTTGGGTTGAGCCTGAGTCGGCCCTATCGGTATACTGGAACTCGCCGCGGCGAGTTATTCTGAGGTGTAGGCAAGACACGTAACATATCCACAAACTTGCGTGAAAGCCTGATGTCTAGACTTCAGCTGTCCAGCATGATATATGATCTGCAAATATCTTTACATGATTCTCGCTATCAACCCCCGTAACAGCCAGACATACACCGGCACATAAGGGTCAATATCTTTGCCAGGGCCAATCAGAGCTCTTCGTGAAGAAGGCGATGCTCGCTGTTAGACTTGCGTTATAACCTCTAGGTCACGGTAAACATCCTATTCCGTCATCATCCACATACATTTTCATATCCAATAGAGTACCCGCGGTTACTCTACATGGCATTGCAGTCTCAACTGTCAAGTCAAACATAGCGTAGCTATGCCATGTGCGAATCCTCACAGGCGGCTGACCATGAGATAAAGTAGGGTCTGTGCCACAAAGCACAGATCGACCAAGCATTCAGCAAGGCAGTGGTTGTTGATACATATGACAGGTCTGAAGATCTATGTAGCAACCTTTTTTTTTTTTTGCGCTCAACCGAGTGATGGACTGTGATGCGGTGATAAAATATGATATATCGTGCTAAGAGTCATCATACACGGGTTACTTGAAGCAGGTAAAATAAATGTACATCCGATCGATCCTAGGAAATTATGTACTGAGAACGAAAGTGGAAAGGAGAAGAAGAAAAAAACATTGCCTCACGAAAAAAGGAGAGAGAAAATCAGTGCGCCCGCCCCAACCAGAGTTTACACGCCCTGCCCCCTAAAAAAAAAACCCCTCATGCCAGAAAACCAAGATCCGAGACAAAAGAGATATAGGAGCGAAAGAGAAAGTAAAAGGATATTTTTTAATCAAGAGATTATTATTGTAACAAATCGTCAATTATTGATTCCCATCCGTACATGAGATTACTCCTTAGATCATTGACTCTTCTCTCCGAAATCGCAACTCTTGCTTCCACGACCAGCGCATCCTCCCGGGAGTCCACAGCTAGGAATTGCTCTAACATGCCCGTAGCTATCTTTGCCGACGACTGGATGTCTGATAAGCTTGTTTTGGTGCTGCTGGTGGAGGTGTCTTGCTCTCTTTTAAAGGCACGGGATTTTATATCAGTATTATTATTTAACTGATTAGGCGTGACCAGAATAGACGAGAACTGACCGTGTTGTGGTTTGTATTTTGAGTATGATGGTGGCGGTTCACAAGGAAATTCTGACTCATCGGTGCTACTCCTTTGAGCTGATGGTTCGTAGGAGTAACTTGATGAGGTGGCCGTTGAGGAGGACGAAAGCGGATATGCCCCATATTCAGTCGCAGTTTCATACTCCGATGTATTTGTGGAGTATTCGTACAAAACGTCACCAGACGATGGTGAGTAGCAGGATGTAGTAACTGGCATGTGGTATTGTGATACGTCCATGTGATTTGCCGTTGCAGTCCCGGAGGATATCTCGACTGTTATGTTTACTGTTCTTTTGATTTGCAGTGGGGTTGTAGAGAAAAAATAACCAGCTGTTGGCGCGTACGAATGGAAATCATCGAAAGGAGAAGATGAGGCTGGTGATGCAGACGTTCTGGGGCCTACTGTAGCAGCAGCGGATGCCCGGCGAGCAGATGTGGGACGCGAAGAGCGTCGGCGAGGTGCTGATGATGAAGAATTGGAAGCTGATGGAGGCATTGCGAGAGGGAAAAAAGAAGATAGTAGTGGAAAAATGGATAGTTTGCTTTCCTGGCTGTATTTTAGTTGGGAGTGTGAAGGTAAAGTAAGAGGAGACGAGTATTGTCTTATATCGCGGGATTAGACTGTTAGTCAACGCTTGGACCAGCGCAGCGCATGCATCTGTGATCCACTTAGATTGCACCTCAGATAGCGATCCACTTTTAAGGCTGTTCGGGTCGGGTTCCCTGGGAGACTATGTATTCTTCCACTTAACCACTTAAACCCACTGGGACTCCAGAGACGTTGTGCGCAATGGTCGAATAAGCCTTGTAGGAGTACAATTCAAGTAGTAGGCGTATTCGTCGTCAAAAATTAGTCGGAATGTGGGTTTTGAAATATTTTTTTAGCAACGCAAATTTCTTCAAAGGGAAGTGATCTCCCGGGTGACAATTGTCACTGTCAGAGCGAGCGGGTAGACCGGGGGGGGGGGAGAGATGCAAAAATGTGAGGGGGAGGAACCCTGAGATCGGCCAATATGAACTTGATCTTGGGTTTCAGCTTTGCCTGGGGCACCGACTGACTGACTGACCCAGACGGTAGTGTACTCAGCGTAAATACAGAGATGGGGGCCGTAATGGGGTTTCTTATTCTCTTTTTCCCCGGAAGAAAACGGGATGGCATAACCACACATCCCCTATAGCTACCTATAGCTACATACATGTGTGTATGTAACAGAGCACATGTAGTGAGTGATGTCTGAGCAACGGGACGTTTTCTGTCCATCAACCAGCGATAATTATTAGTATGTATCGTTATTATGTCTCTGTGATGACGACGCGTGACTTGCCTTGAATACTAGGAAAGAGACATGGGGAGCATGTAAGTAAACAGTTAAGTGCTACTGTAGGTAATACCTGTTGTCCGTATCCATTAGTCTGGCAATGCTGACCACCCTATAATAGAGGAATGAAATTTGTATGGGAGCTCTATTATTTGATAAGAGAGATAACAAGATCTGTTAGTAAAGCCACAGAAGAATTTGGGGGGTCAGCATTTTTTGCCTGACGAAGGGATAGACAGAAAATAACGGATAGGTGAGGATCTGATCCCTGGAACTGCTTGCTGAGCCTCTTAAGCGATTCAGCCCGCCTTCCCTGCAGCCAATTGATGGTCTTGTTCCCGGATATTCAGCTGCGTGCCGCTCTCGTTTCGAGGGCGTGCAGTGAGGGGAACAGGGGCGTCACAGTCGGGGGGGCTCCAAGCTCAGATCCACAACACCCAAAATACATCCAGCGGAGGAGGGAGTAACTGTGACTATTACCGAAGGCTGCCGATCATCACACATACGAGAGACATATTGTGCTCAAGGGAGAGAGGAAAACAATTGAGAGTACTCTAGAACCGCAGAAATCAGGCCACCTTAGCTACAGGCTACACTCATCAGTTGTCGAAACTCCAAACACGTTGCCGTTACGTATCCAAATATATTTCTAAAGTGGGCATTCCTTCTTTCGAATTTGTAATTCTTGCCCTCTTCGCTAGCGTTTGAAGCCCTGTCAATATCACTTCTCCGCTGATCTATACCTATTTTCAAGTTGTACTGGGGGATCCTCATGACTCAAGCTTCATAGTTCCTTCTGATCCCTCGTGAACTTCAGTCCCAGTCGCCCTTTCCTCACAACTCCCCACGCATGTCCTGGTCACACTGGGGTGGGGTTTCTCAGTATGTCGGTCTCTGATAAGGCCGTGACATAACACTAAATGACTGCCAGCTGTCGATAACATCTAAATAAAGCAATGATCATCATTAATAGGGCACCTGGAACCCAAGGCTATCCTTTCCGGGAACCCTCGAAACCTCGCCTCTACTTTAACCCTTCATTTCGAATTTTTCCAGTCCCCCGAAACTTCTCGTAGCTGGAGATTGCAAACTCGTATTCTGTCGCAATCACAGCAGCGGGGCGACGGAACTTGAAAAATATAGTCCGCCTCAGACTCTTCTGGCTGGGGGGTACATACTGTGATGCCTGCCACTTGATAAGTTACATCGTACGTACCAGTAACTAAACAGTTTATGATTCTTGGGTCACCAGTGATCTAAATTCAGGGGTTTTCTGGTCCAATGCGGAGAAAGCAATTGGTCTCGCGCGGGAGTGTGCCCAGGATGTCGTCTCAGACTAGGTAGCCTGTGCCAACAATCGGTAACTACGCTATCGTTAAGCGATAAAATCGCCAAGTTTAACCTGCTCGACTCCCACTCCCTCGTCAATTCTCCTGTGGTGTGTGCGCGCACGGATCATACCAAGGTCATTGCTCTTCAGGCGATGCTGAAACTGTCGCACCCAATCACCTGATTCCCTACCGCGCAGTCAGAACTACTTTTCGACTTCACTCACACAGCCCGACGCTTTGTTCGTTGGAACCGAGGGTCGATTGATCTACGATGGTTGGGCCAGGGTTGGTGAGGTGAGGTGATGACCAAGGTAGGTACTCTGCTGTCTGTATAGTGTACCCTGCCTCACTCCTCTTACACCCATCCCCAGCTTGATGATACTGCGGGCTACCCCCCACGCTCCAATAGGTTGACGGGGGGGTTCACATCTACATATTAGTAGCCTCTATCGTAAAACTCTCAAGTGATCAGCACAAATTTCTAAATTTGAAACCAAATTTGGGGATTAGAAAGCAGGGAGGGAGAGGTGGGAATCTTTCAATAACCCCCCGTCGATAAATTGAGCAAGATTCAAACCCATATCGTATAGTGATAACGGCGACCCCAACTCGGGCACAGAAGGCTTACTGGCCCTACATCTGCTACTAAATGGCTCAGAATAAGCCTTTCATCTCTCTTGTGTCGATCTACTGTAGGCCCCCAACACACCCACACACACCCACACGTAACTATGTACGTGTCCATAGTCACGATCAACTTCCTCTTAATTGTAGTAACAACTCCTCTCCGAGGAAGCTGCGCGTCTCATTTTTTGCAGCCAAATCATAAGACATTTTCGAAATTAATCTTGTGATCTGAACCTCCTCGTCATACGAGAAATTATTCGTTCTCGGGATTTTTTTTGAAACAACAGAGTAGATGTGCAAAAGAGGCCCTTTTAGATCTATTACTGTGTGCTGGCCTGCCCGTGATTTGATAAGGGAAAAAAACCAAGAAGATAACGGACGGGAAGGGAGCGCCTGATCTTCGGTTCCCATATGGGTTGGGAAGATCATAAGAGCCAACTCTGTATTCAACGGATTTGATAATAACATAGCTAACCAACTCCCTTGATGGTCAGAAAGACATCATCCAATTGAGCCTCCAGATTGTGATAGGTAGTTTGCCATTTTTTCTTTTCTTTCTTTCTTTCTTTCTTTACTTTTTTCTTTCTTTCTTTTTTTTTTTTTTTTTTTTTTTTGCAACTGCCGCATAGCTACATACTGTAACATACATAGCTAGCCATCGCCGCCACCGGCGGGAGAAAATATTCAAATTCCAAACGGTCTATGTACCTGCTGATATTGTGACGTCGAGATAATGGATTTCCTGTTGGAAACAGGGGTATGTTATAAAAACAACTCGAGGGCGCTTGAGGACTCTGTCAAAGCGGTCTGATCATGGTGACCAGTACCTTCCCCCCCTTCTCTTCTAGCAATCAAGCTGCTACATTCCCCCGAGAAAATTATTAGTTTTGAGAGAGGATAGGAAAAATCATTGTTGAGCCCATCTGGAAGAGGAAGAAAATAAAAAAATTTGAGGATGCGTGCGGATGAACCTGGCCGAATTACCAGAGGTGTCGTAGTGAATTCCCCGCGCGCGTGCTCGGTCCGCCAGCTAGAGAAGCCTAAGACAAGCTGTGTTCTGCGATGGGATGGGCGCGGATTCCCGGCGTCCTGCATCAAGCTCGCTCACTAAACTCCCTTTTCCTCAAGCTCCCACACGCGCCAACCTTGGTAGAGTAGGCATGTAAATAGTACCTACAGAGGATATAGGTATATCTTCCTCTGCTTTTCGTGCTTGTGGCCAGCTGCCAGCATGCACATGTGTGTTGTGGCAGTTGGTTGCTCTTATGGTGACATTTCTTCAGGGTCCAGGGTTAGGTATTCCCTTAAAGAGGAAAAACCTTATTCCGCTTCCAGCTAGGTAAAAATCCATTTCCTATTCCTGTCGTCCCACACAATCATCCAAACAACTACTGGAATATGGCATCATATACTGCTACACGGAAACTCTACACCCTCATTGTTCCTGTAGATAGCCAGCGCGTCTTATTAGGATACAAGAAGCGTGGGTTTGGAGAAGGGAAATGTAGGTTTGTGATTTCCAGCCCCCCTTTTTTTTCGATCTAGAAGTGTTTCCAATCGCACTACTTCTTGTCGTACAGTCTTTTTTATTTGTTTTTATCTCCCCTGACATCTGCTGATGTAATTTTTCTAGATAACGGTTTCGGTGGGAAGGTAGAACCTGGCGAAACTATCGCCGAAGGGGCAATCCGCGAGCTTGAGGTTTGAAACTCTCTAACAAGCGGGGAGCTGTATTTAACTGGATCTTTTTTTGTGGATAATTAGGAAGAGGCCTGTATCAAGGCCAAGAATCTACCCTATCATGGCATCCTGTTCCTAGAATCTACCGCAGATTCTAAAGCTCCGATCCTAGAGATACATGTTTTCACTGCAACTGAATGGACTGGTGAGCCAATGGAGTGAGAATCTGCATGCGTCTCTGCAATTTCATTTGATCGAAAGCTCTGACAAAAGTGAAAAAATGTAGGACCGAAGAGATGCGCCCAGTGTGGTTTGCACCACCCTCAACCACTCACGACTCGTCCGATTCTCCTGCGATCCCGTTCAAGAATATGTGGGAAGAATCTCGTGAATGGCTCCCCCTGATTCTTGCGTTCTATTTCCCGACCCCAAGAAGGGGAAAAATTCAGTTTGCGCATCATGTAACTTTTAAGGGTGGTCCCAATCCTGAGACTGGGTTAGAGGATATCTGGCATGGAATTGATCGTAAGTTTGTTAAATGGCTTGAGAGTGGCCGCAAAGATGATGAAGGTTTCCCAGGGGACCTGGAGGATTGGACAGAAGAGGTCAGGGAGCAGTGGATTGAAAAGAGGATGATGGCTTTTGAGAATAAAATGTAGCTCCTGTTCCTTGGTTGCTGTCTGGTCATGGGATTGAAAATTTAGCTCATAGGCGTGCGAATGAAAAGTAAAGCTTGATGCTTAAGCGTTGTAAAAAAACCATGACACCAGTTCTGGGCTAGAGGCTGAGACAAGTTTTGCGATTACTGAAATTTTTTACAGTAGAGTTCCCCGCTGGTCTGATAGGATTTGGGGTCCACGCACGGGCTTATTACAAATCTCGGTTCCTATGCCCTATAGGACACCCAGAAAACCTCGTGAGTGCCTACTCCTATTGTCTAACAGGGGCCATCCCCGCGATTTATGTATGCGCGAACGAACGACCGATCACTTGCCATCTCAAGCGCAGTGCAGCTCATGTATGTATGTATTCGTGTCTTCTGAGCTCTCTGCTGGCGTCTGAGAGTTGCCAGGGGTCATATGAGACAACTTTGAGTTTGTTCAAGGGGTGTAGTATGCAGCGTCACAATACATCACTCGATAGCCTTTTTGAGCATATTTCGGAGCACATTTCGGAGCTTGGCTTTCGAATGCAAGCCTTTGATAAATAACTAGACTTGAGGTGTTCGATTCTATCGCAGTAATCAGTTATAACTTGTAAGTGCATACACAGCGTCATAGACCTTACTACAGCCATTCAGGCGCTGTTCGATAACTTCACTTCACACCTATATTCTCAGCACACCTGGCCTAGACTGCGAACTATGGCCATAGTATGTAAACTCCTATACATTTGTTGTAGTCGACCATGAAGGGATTTGTAGACAATTTCCGAAATCTGGGCCAATTTCGGAGCAGGGAGAATGCGGAAAAGGGTGTTAATAAGTAAGACCGCGATAAAGAGATACCTACATCTTCGTATGGGTATGATATCTGAATGGTTTAAATGTCATACACCATATGCATTGAAACTAAAATTTATTTCAGTAGACTGGATTAGTAACCTGACATTATAAAATATTAGTCTTGTGGAAGCGACACATGTTTCAAGTTGGGTTTATAGTAAGTTCATTGTGGGCAAGTGTGCCATAGAATATATTATTTTGATGACTAGCATTCCCGAAAATCGATTCCACTTGCGACCTATAGAGTTTTTCTGAATGATAAAAAGATAACTAATGTTAGCAAGAGATCGAAACAATATAAGGTGAAAATCAAGATAAACTCATCTAAAGTGGGCCTGGCACAGCTCTTATACCCAGCAGAGAGGGAGTAGAGAAAGATGCAGAGTAACGCTTGGATAAGCCTGGACAGACAAGACGATGTGTGAGGAGAGTGTCGGTATATATTCGGTATTTTATGACACGTGCCTTCAAAGTTTCATGAATAGTGCCCCTCACACAGTGCATATGCACTAGGTATGCGCCGCTATCGTTCCCCTGGACCCTTCAGGTATGACTTTAACACATAAACAAAAATTACTCACTGTGTCATAAGATCGCCAGTACTACCATTATTCTAAATATTTAGCACCCACACTCTTTTCATTGGGTCAATTCCAAGATTGAATGTAAATTAGAAATATAGTGCAAAAAGTATATTATTGTCAGTAAAAATTTAAAAATAAGGTCAAAGCCAGAGATTTGGAACCATAATCTGGAAGAAGTGCTTTAATTATTGTAATCATGGTCATAACAAGTATGTATGGTCACTCTTTCATGGTTTTTTTCTAGCTTTATAAGTATAATATGGTTACCTTTTGTTTAGATGCCAGTAAACAAGAAAAAGCCCTCCCGATGCAAGAGACAAAAAAAAAAAAAGAAACTGAAAAAAACTAAGAACCCAAATTTCTATCCTGTATCTCCACTATTCCCTCCTAACTAGGACTGCTGGTACTACATCAAATCCTGCCCATCTTGCATCGGAATAGTCTATCCCGTAATGGCGTCAGCCCATCATAGCTCTAGCTCCCTTCTTACTCACACAGAAAAAATTCAATATTGTCTATCCGGAGGCAGAAACGAAAGCTGTACCAGTTCTTCTCCAGGAAATACGCAATCCCCGACCTCTTTAACATAGTTTCTAATCGCCGTGAGGGACTTTGCGCCAATCGACTCGTACTGGCTATGCCATTGGGGCACCCATGGATCCTGATATCCCAGCATTTCGGACTGTAAGACGATTTGACCACTACAGGCGCTTCCGGAGCTATTTCAGTCAGTTGACGTATAGGGGATGGTGGAGACGGGAGAGGGGTACCCAATGCCGATTGTTGGGATGTTAACGTGCTCCGAAACGTATTTTGCCGCCTGTTCCGAGAGCGCTGTAAGGAAGAGGCCAACGGCACCAGCCTTCTCTAGCGCGATGGCTGCGTCTATTATCTCGCCCGCCTGGATTGCATCAGTTCAATTCCAATTTTGCCTTTCCAGTACCATGAACCCATGAGTGTATATAACTAACGCTCGCAGCGGTCCTACCAACTCCCGTTTGATTGCTCTCGACTTGTATGCTCCGCTGCGGCGTCAAGCCCACTTGTACAAATACCGGGATCCCTGCGGAGGTAATCTTCCGGACCGCCGGGCACAGGTCTTGTGTTCCTTCGATCTTTACACCTGTAACGCCGGGGCATTCTTTGATCATGCGGATTGCGGATTGTAGCGCTGTGCATACGTTTGTTTTGTCAGCCTGCCAGTTTAGTCCTCAGGTCTTCCACTAGGAAATAAATCGTACCTTGTTCTGGCGTGACTTCATAGCATCCCATCGGTAAATCCGCAATAAGTAAGGGTGTTTTAACGGCTCTTGCTACAGCTTTCGTATGATGTATCATTTCCTACCGCATTCTTGTTAATCCCTTCCTCTGTAGGCCTTTCTCAGGGACACCTACATCTAAAGTCAATGATATCGACCCCTGAAGCCCCAGTATAACCTTTCCCAGAGAGTCCGCCACAAGGACGATATCAATCCCGCCTGATCGCTCCGCAAGCAGTCCAGATGGGTAATCCCATGCTGTCAGTCCTACGAGGATCTTCCCGGAAGTGTGCTTTTGCAGGAAGCTCTGGAGGGCAGAACACATTATGAATTGAGTTATTGGGGAAAGACTTGAAGTTGTGGATGCTGAGGACGAGTTATGTAGCTAGGTAGATAAGGTAGATAAGGGGCCGTTGCTGGTTGTTGTTCCTCAGGTACCCCGCACTGGAAATGTATAGCTACGATACCAGTGTTTAACTCTAATTTTCAATCCACTACCGTATGAATTGTTTTGTTGTCCCTGCTGTTTCCCTCCCTGCTTGCGTGCGTGCGTCACAGTGCGTTGTTCGCGTGTTCGCATGTTCGCGTACCCCGCTTGGCCAACGAACTACCATCGATCAAATCTTTTTGCATGGTTGTTTGGTATTTACCGATCATTTCTCACATGGTAGTGGGAAAATTGATCGAGACAGGATTTGCACAGGGATTACGGGCAGGCCAGTGTGATGGGTTCCCTGCAGTCGGTAATGTGGTTGGACCAATAGAAGTCGGAATCGTAGAGTGGTAATAAACGGGTGCAATAATTCCGCTTCCCTTTTCTGAAGGGCACCAACCGAAGAGGCTAGCTACCGCCTTTGGATATTGAGCTGCGTAGCAGCGGCGTCACAGAATGACAGTGACCCTGCGGGCCCTAGCATTGGTCAATTTTATAAATTTAGTTAACAAGATTCATATCGTTAAACCCTTCTTTCAAAATGTGAACCAAACCTTAACATGTACTTTTCCCCCTTGAGTGTGAGTCAACACTCAATCGATCATTTCTTAACATAGTACTGCTTGTTGGAATTTTCACTAGCTGATATTGATATAGATAAACAAAAGTGTTCCTGATTAATTCGGGTTCGTGTAGTTCTCTTTTAGTCTGAGTAGAATTTGGTAGATAAAATTTAAACGTCAAAGCCGGTGAGAAGAGTAGGTTTAGGAAGCTATATCGACACGTAAGTATATACAGTACCGTAATATATATACGTAATGCATTAATGCCTATATAACTGAACGTTGTTGTTGCCGCTGTTCCAGAAACATCATCAATATCCTGCCCCCTAAACTTAATTTCACGTCGTTTTATCACCTCCTCATCTTCATCACTGAGTGTATTAAATAAAAGACGTATGCATCTATCTCGAACTTCTCAAACTATTGGAGCCATTGAGTCGATCGCTAATTCTTTCCTAGTTTATTTAGGCTTACAGATCCACCTGTGTCGTTGTGCTTTCACTCTCAACTAGTATATCGACCTTAAGGTCAGTCAAAACTACAAAGATGATGGGGAAGTCAGGTTCGTTGCTAAATGAAATTCTGCATCAATGCTGATCAAGGCCCGTTCGGCAATAAGACAAAACGGAGTTTTCAAGGTCAATGCCTAACAAAAAGGTCGTTGAAACGGAGTTCTCACCCCTGTAAACGCCGTTTGGACTGTTGCCGAACGGGCTCTAATTCACATCTCAATGACCCCCGAGACCTTTTTTCATACCTCGAATTCTTTTCGCCGATGTTTTGGACGAGTACATAAAGAGAGAAGAGATAGTTTATGTTTGGGCTATAGGTGGTATATTAACTGTTTCTGGGCGCAGAAAATCGGAAAACGGGGGGTGTGGCCGAATGACTCGGAAATTACAATCGAGTGATATCTCGTGAATCAATTCATTAGCAAATGCACCCCAATACTTTCGTCTGCCTCCAGGTCTTGTGACTACTTAACCACCGAGATCAACTACTAGAAGCACAAGAAATCGATAATTGACGCATCAAACCACCCCAAAAGCAGTATAACATATCTCGTCACTTGAATATCATGACAATACGGGCAAGATTTGCAGATTTTTACTAATACCAGGCTAGATCACATGGACTCGTCGACTGATCGCTCCGCTATACAATATTTCATGTGCAAACTTGCAATTTCCCTTCACATGCAGGCCCAGGAATGACTCACATGCCGTTCCTAGTTTGATGTACCGTCCCCGAGTTACAGCCTCTCTTTCATGTAAAACAAAGGGAAACGGGTTAACGGTCACTCACATCCTCAGTGTTTTAAACGGGAAGAATAACTCTCTTCCTAGAACCCAACTACCCCAGTTAAATACATGTATGGGATTCCTTGTATTCTATACACAAGCATGGCATTATCGAAGAAATGGGTTTTGAATGGACATTGGATGCAAATTCCGAAAAGGCACAAAAGTTCAAACAGACTTGAACCCCAGAAGCTCACTATTGATATGAGACAGCGGAATGCTTATCTCTTTTTTGCATGGGGCCCCCAGGAGAGCGGGTTCTATAGTACAATACCGCTGTAATCAGAAAATATCAGGTTATTAACTGAGATAGGCCACTGAATCAGTTTTCGCAATACTTTTACCCTACATGTAGTTACATCACTAGTTCGCCTCTTCCATTGGGTTGGTTTTGCAAAAAGGGAAGCCTTCGACTACTTTTATATAACGCACAAACATTCCCAAGATTCTTCGCACCGAACCACCGCCTCTTTTTCTCGTATCAATTACCACCCCCCTCTAGATCTGTGCTCGGCAAAAAACGCTCGCTACATAGCTTGTTAGGTTTCCTTTGGGCACGGCCGTAATTTTGCGGGCTTGGCCTAGCTAACTTAACTAGCTACTAGTTAACTGTATTTGCATACGCCTCATCGTACGTGGGGAGACAGTTCAATGAATTCAATTTCGGCAAAGAGGCAGTCAAAATGCTGTCAGTATTTAAACTAACTAAAAGCAGTCATCTCGATGGACTATCATATGTCGTGCCGTATACTAGACGGCCACGCCCCCTCCAGCGCTCTGGTAACTGGGCCATATATTTATTTGGCACGATTCCTATCAGAATTACTGCGCTTACCACTCGCTCTTAGTATCGGGTCCTTAGCTACAGAAAAACCTCTGCTGATCTATTCTATACACTCTTTGTCCATGTTTCATACGTTGTCGCTCTGTCAGGCGTACGGAGTATCAAGTATCCTCTGAATTACGGTGGTTGCGATCGGTGAATCCCGTATCACCATAAGTATCCGCAGCTGTCAGGGGCTACGAGCTTGGTACAACCTAACGTTGCCTGTAATGGAGACTACAACGGTACAACGGTACACCATAAACAAGTGTATTCAACCTAGTACGCTGAAGTGGGATGAGGTGTGTTTAGGGCCAAACGCAAATTAAGCAAGCCATAGACAGATCTGGGGGAAGAGGGACAACATGCCGGGATCAACTAACTCCGTGATCGATATTAGTAATAGCACGGGGTTTACCCCCTTTCAGTCCTGTGCATGATCCCTTCTCACCCGCGCGCCATGGCTAGCTACATGTAGGGTTTGGTATATTTCTCGGCAGAGTCACAATGCAATTCATTAGAGATTTTGAGGTGCAGATCGAAATATTCACAATTGATTATCACCCACCTGTTGAGTTAGATATGTTGAATTTAACCACCTCGCTGGAATTAATAGGAATTATCTCTTCTTCCCCTTTGCTTTTTGATCATATCAACTATGGCTCAAATGTGCTGTTCGCAACGTGCTAACATGTAACCAAAAAAGAAAAAACCTAACAAAAATAAACTCCTTCGTACTCCCCTTTTATGTGAAAAAAGGACCTCCCACCAGCAGAAAAAAAACCAAACAAAAACTCCCGGGGCCCAAAAATGTAAAAGCGCTCAGAAATTTCCAGAAAAGGGTGGGGTGAAAAAAAGCCACCAAAATGCAGCGCAAAGTATCCTAACGGAAGAAGGAAAGAAAAAAATAAAGAGTAAAAAGCGATAGATATATATATATTCCTGTAAGAAAGTTGAGTTGTTGAAACGATAGATCGCATATATAGATTAATGTCTTTCCTTTTATCAACAGGTGATAAAAAAAGGGTTCGAATATGGACCTCTTGTCCCAGTTCCTGCCGCATTCTCCGCGCGAAATGAATGTAATAATGAAAGATACAGATATGTAAAAAAAAAGAAAGGGGGGGGGGGGGGGGTAAAGAGTAAGTGATGGTGATATCTGTAGCCCTTGGGAATATCGACTCCGGGTCCAGTTTCGGTTTCGGTTGGGGCCAGAAAGGGGTGGGTAAGTATACTCGAGCATCATGGCTGATGTGTATGGTCCAGAAAGAAAGTCTCAAGAAAATGTGAATGATACGTAGAACGCCCAAAAGCAAGAAAGTTAATGTAATGTAAAGGAAAAAATGAAATAAAAATCTAACAAAGACAGAAGTTATGTTAGTCAACAGCCAAAAATCAAAAACCGCTTCAAATATGGTTGAAAGTGCATACTCAAGTAGTAGTGACACATGGTGGATTCGGCAAAGTACCCGTCTCAGTACTAGATTCAGGATGACTTTGGTGTTGTCGTTTTTCTGGGACTTCATATTTGTCTGCAGATCCACCCAGAGACTCGTCGTCGTCCTCGTCGCCCAAATCCTGATCCTCCCTCTTTCTCTTGTGCCCAGTTGGCTCTGACCCTTGCCCCTCATCATCCTCCTGGTCAGAATAACAATTCTCGCTGAACCTCAGTCCGCTAGGCCGTGCTCGCGGCTTCGAGACCGGTTCAACAATCGGCTTCCATTCCACCACAGCCGCCAACCGTTCCTTCTTCTTCTCCTTCCTTATCTCCTTTCCTCCACTCCGTTCACCCCTTTCCGCCGCTAACTTCTCTGCAATGACGGCTGAATTCATCGTTGCGCGGAGATTGTGTTTCTTCGTTCGCCGCTTGGATGATGACGTGTCTTTCCGTACACGTACTCTCTTCAAAACGCGTTTGGCGCCCGGCAGTGGTTCTCGCTCCCGTCCACGAATTTTAGACAGTTGTACCATTTCCCCCTCCAAGGCTTTCCCTGACAGATTATACTCGCCCTCATCATCATCCACCTCGTCATCCGCAAGGAGTGGGGAATCCTGGAAGTCGAAGCTTATGACTTGTTCTTTGGGTTTGAATGCCTCAAGGGGAGACTCAGTAGCGCTTGAGGATTTAGTTGAATCAGTTTGATGTTGTTCTGCTTGGTCTGCTTGTTCTGCTTGTTTTCCTTTCTGCTCCTTGTTATATTCTTGTTCTTGTTCTGTTTCCTCTGGTTGCTTATCAGGGTGTTCTGGAGAAGAAAGGGGGTTTTCTGAGTCGAGAATAGCTTGTTGTTTTTCTTCTGGTTGTGATAATAATGGTGATGGTGGTAGTGATGGTGGTAGTGATGGTGATAGCGATGGTGACTTTGGAGGTACCACGACAGGACCCTCCTCTTTCTCGATGGGTGTCGACGTAGTAGTTGAAGTAGTTGCGATGGAAATGTTGTCGGAACAGTCCAGCGAGACCGCAGCATTGCTCAAGGACATGTTCCGTCAACGAGTGTGACGAAACAAAGGGAAGATAGACCCAGCGCACCGGAATGACAGAGACCTTGCCTTGGGTCCAACGACAAATATCAACTGTCAGCGCATATCGGTGGCATTAAGGTTAGGAAGGGAGAGGGTGGTGCGGGAGTCGGTACTCTATACATAAATCTGGTTCTCGGGACAGGTTGGGAGCAGGTCGCCTGCCTGCCTTGACACCCTTGTCTAACCTGGCATGCCTGGCATGCCTGGGAAAGGCTATCCGTGTGAGTGGGTCTCTCTCTCACTTGTCTGGGAGAAGAACTGGAACAGGGCCAGCCAGCAACCAGGGTGTGCGTGGTAGTGTTGGGGGGGAGGCTAGGGTGGTGGAAGGACGGACGCGGCGTTGGGGGTAGAGTACTGCGCAGCCTGCGCTACTCTACAGTAGTCGTAGTGGTGGTAAATGGCGGTGGGTCAAGTGCTGAATAAAGTAACGTGGATGGTGTAAAACCCTCACTCGACAGTGCACTAACTAAGAGGAGCGGCATACCTATTCTAATTTCGCACATCCACTGCACCTCCCCCTTCCCTTCACTTCCACTTCCAACCCCTCCCTCACTCGAGTCCAGCGTCCCACCACCCCCATCCACCACCCCCCCCCGTTAATTGCTTCTTCTGCAAACACACACACTCAGCCAGCTTCCCAGACAGTCCATGACGGCGAGGACAAAAAGGTCCGGCCCGAAAATTGGGGTTTGGGGGTTGGGGATTGGGGGTTGGGGGAACTGGGAAGTGGAAGATCTCATTGCTCATTCAGTAATAATGCTCGAGAGTACTTTACCTTCTGTTTAGTACTCCAATTCGCTGGAAAGTGGTCTACCCTCCTCAGCCAGGCAATAGCAATAATAGCTAATTAATAATGATATCCCAATAATAATCATGCTGACAACGCCCCCCTCCGTCCCAACTCCAGAACAAAGAGAAGGAATGGAAGCACATCACGGTAACTACCTCACCTCACTCATTCCCAGGTTACAGACTTGCAAGGTTAAAGGGACCTCCAGACTTTGCAGATGGCGTTTATAACCGATCGACAACCTCTTTCACGATGTGGTGGGACACGCCAAGTTGCCTGTACCTACGCCACAACTAACAGTGACCGACTGCCCACAGGTTCAGTCAAAGGTCCATCTCAAACCTCGAATCAATTCCATCAAAAGAAATATCCCATTTATCGGCAAAATTACCTATCTGCTGCTGCTGCTGCGTTTTGTCTGTCTAGCTGTGTAAGTGAAGATTCCAGTCGTGTCTCTTTAAACCTTCTCCACTAACTTTATGCAGTGTTGGATTAACACCGTCCCATGTAATAGAATCACTTCTTGAATTTTGGTCTGTGCAAAAACTGGGGGGTCAAAGATCCAGAAGGTCCTTGTTCTAGATGACTGAGACACTTGGAGAAGCCGAATAAATCTCCCAAAAGTATGAGCTATCGTGGCCCGTTTCTTTTACCTGAAGAGAAGAGGAGAGACCTCTTCACACCCACCCGGCGGCTCGCCCGGCATTATCCTTGTGAAGCTCTCTCAGGAAAAAGCCCCAATATCGCTTAGGAACGTTTCACAAGGATCGGTCGGGGGCTCCTTTTATCTTGGGTCACCATTTCATGTGTACCTAACACCTCCTTTCCCAGTCTACAAAAATATATATACATACCTGGTAAAGCTTCCGACCGGTTGATGGAATCCGTAACCCTAAAAGATCAACAAGGTGAAGGAGGAGAAGGAGTGTTAAAGTTTGCAAGTACCGTGTGGCCCCACTGGGCGCGAAAAATGCTTGTTATTTACCGGGCGGCCAGAAATTTGTGTGAGGTGAGGAGCCGGCGTCCGGTTCAGATCAAACTCAATAGCCAGACATTGACCGAGGTGTGGAATGAAACCTAACCCTGCAAAAGAGATGCCGCGGCATTCTAGTAGTGATAGGCCTAAACGGTGAAGATTGTTGGTTTGACTAAACTGGAAAATATCGAGAATCCACTAGCTGCAAGGTGCCGACCACCTCACCATATTGCTGCTTACCCCTGCAGTATTACTTCCCCAATCATCATTAACTGAAGGTGACGGGGAAAGGACTCTTTTTTGTACCGAATCATAAAGTATCACTCGGCGGTCACGGTTGCCTCAGTAACCTGAAGGTTAAGAAACCTTACTAAAAATACTTGAAGATCATCTCAATTAATTATCTTCAGGATTCAATGGTTACAGAGGTTCTCAAACTCCGTAGCAGGCTTGCGTGAGAGGGACATTCCCATCTCGGGTCACTTCCCTTCGCCTCGATCGGCAGGCTGCGGTTACTAAAACTATTAATTAATTGATTTGCAGTACATTGTCGCTATGGGTCATTGGCAATTTTGGCAAGCATCTTCCCCCGAAAAATATTACCCTAAAATTAATCGGATGAGTACTCATCTTCTTGATTATTTATCTACCCGTTAGAGTACTCTACTTTCATAGCTTCTGCTACTCTATCACCGGATTTGGTCGTTCAAATATTTCGGCGTGTGTCACTCCCGGCTCATGGATCATGGGTCTAACTCCTCACATTTGACAGATAGCCAAGCATGGCCTGTCACGCAACGAGTGAATTAAGGTCAGGAATAGGTATGTACGCAGTACGCAGTATGTCTCAACAATTTTTTCCACTTCTACATGACAAGCTAGCTAGCTACCTCCAACCTCAGGCCCTAGGTAAGAAATTTCTACCAAGTCAAGATAGCCCCTTGGTTAGCTCCAACGACACTAGGGACGTCTGTTACGGCCAGCAAAGTGTACGAGTAAGGAACGCTAGTCAATGTTCCAGTCGGTGCACTATTGGTGCCTCCACCAAGATCGCATCCACGCAGGACGGCATAACCCGCATCTGAAGAGATCACACACTTCGTGATACCGCTCCAGACAGAGTTTTCAAGGAGCATCTGAGCGCCCTGGCGGGTGTTGACGGCATCTTCCATATTTTCGTACCAGCCGTTGATGACGTGTCCTGGTACGTTTCAGTAATGAAATTCTCTAATTTGAGATGGGGGATAGTCTGGTTACCTGTTCCGAAACGTAGACTGGGGCCACGAGAATAGACGTTTTGGAAATGGCACTGGTAGTATGTTACCCTGAGAGTGCCGATGTCTTCAGCACCGTTGTTGTCGCTGTGTCCAATGAGGGACCCCTTCCAGTGGTCATGGAAATAGACGTTTGAGATAGTGATATAATCTGCCGCGTGGGTGATATCGAGGAGGCCGTCGTAGTAGTCCTGCACGTCAAACATGTGAAGATGAGCCAATGATCATGGGGACAACACGGGAAGTCTAATGGATGAAGTTCGCGGGTAATATGTCACTGTGCAGCGGGTTGAAGCTTACCTTGCTGTGATCCTGGTCGGCAGAGAGCTCAACGTGATCGACCCAGACGTTGGTCGATAGCTGAATACCAATTCCATCGATAGGCGCCAGGCACTTCTGGATCTTGAGGTTCCGAATGATGACGTTCTTCTTTTCCAAGACTCTCAAACCAACACCAACAAGGGCTGAAGAAAGAGGTTAATATATGGATCGCCCGACGGGGAATACAAAAAGGAGAAGGGGAGATTGAGGAGTCTAGAATATAACCTACTTGCACCGCCGCTTCCAAGAATCGATTTGTTTGATCCGACTGGCACTGCTTCGTTGCCAGTGATAGTACCGGTAACTACTACAATCCGTGCAACATCATCTGCAACTGCAGTCTTGAGCGCAGCTAATGAGGAGACCGTGGTTGTAACACCGCCGCTCCCTCCACTCGTCCTGTAGGGTTTCTGTTTGTTAGTCCGCTGCCGTAGGTCAATGCAAAGGAGAGGTTAAATGTGAAGCTTACCCGCCGTTAAGGGTACAGTATCCAACCGTGCACTTATCATTGACCGAGGCGGCAAGTACAGATTGGAACGCAGCGAGCGCTCCCAAAATCAGTGATGTGGTTCTCATGGTGATCGAGTAGGTACGGGTTATCACTTGTGATGCTCACTACTTTCCAGTTCGAGAAATAAAAATAAAAACCACGTTGGAGGTCTCTGGTTTTATAGCCAATCTTTATTAACATCAAAAAGAAGCTTCGGACTCAACATTGAAGAATCCACCGAGCTCTTTCGACCGAATTCACGAAAGCAATAATAACCAAGACGGCATTCCGGGCCCAAGTACTGCAAAATCATGTAAACATCAGGGAAAACATCATGCAGGTCTCTCTGGGCGTGGACAAATACAGTTGTCGATATTATCTTTAAACTCTTGGCCTGTAAATGGGCTGGCAGTACCTGATGGAACCGGCACATCGGTATCAGGGAGATGCGGTCCGATGCATCGTAGTTTGAGTTTTAACTATTTCTCCGATTATTCGATTCGGTTAGAATTAGTCCGGGGGGTGCACAAGTCAGACCAGCCGGAAATGCCGTGGGTGTAACATGCATCTTTTTGTATGCAAATCATATCTAGTTTTGTGGGGTGAGTTCCTGAGTACATTTTGTTCCGTTCCGTGTATGTATGATTATATATTGACGACTAAAGCACTTACTGGCTAAAGAATAAAGTCTATTTCTATCCGGATTAACCTGCACGGAGCCGGGCCGTGGGGAGCGCACCACAAACCTCTCGAAATGTGTCGTTGAGAGCTTGGTCATAAGTTTGCACTCGTTGTCGCACTCTGGTCAGTAAGTTTACTCCATGAACAAAGCTTGGCTCATTGTTTATGGACCATGGTTACACTCTTGGCTTTTGGTACGATACCAATTTATTGTGTCATTATTTCCCCGCTTTTCTTGGCCGTATTACTTTTTTTTAATTTCATTGTGATATCCACGCTAATGGTTAGTTAAACGAAAATCTGAGTGCTCAGAGAACATGCTTTATGCGGGAGGTTTTGTGACCTAGACAAACAAGCCCACTGCTGTTTACCGACCGCGCATACCGCTGCATGATCTTGACATTAGCTTCGCCGAGTACATAACCTTTATCCTTCACCGCTGGCCCTGAGCAAGTTCATAGACAGGCATATTTTCTTGCTTAAAAAAAAAAACTAAGTCACCAACTTATGTACGTATAACCTGAACACCGCATTGCTAGAGTCTAGAACAGCATCCCCTGAAGTCCAGGGCCGAGCCGTGGCCGTAGAACTTAGGATGTCGTCGTTCCGACTCGCAGGTACCCGCCCAGGAGATAGAAGAGGAAAGAGCCTTACATCTGATATTCCTAGCGCTATCGCTTCATTGGCGGAGACTAGGAATTAAACGGCTCAGCCCGGTATGCCGGCCGGTTCGTTCCTGGCGGATACCATGCGATGTCTTGATTAGCACGTTGGTATGACAAAATTGTTTTTGCAATGGGCAGCAAGAGACCTGAGGAATCAACACACATATGAGTTGGGGAGATTAAATTCTGCGTGACCAGCTAGCTGGTTAGTGCTTTTCTTTCCTTTACGCCCATGAGTAGCTTCATTCTGCAAAAATGTCCCCTTCCCAACAAATGCGTGGTGCTCAGGGCAGATAAAATAATGGAAAGCAGGGGACCGAGGGGCACTGCAAAGTCAAGGTTAAAGATGAGCAAGTTACCAGCGAATAAGGAACCGCAGGAGATATGTTCCGTAATGAACAAAATATGTCTGTGTGATCGGGGAATTGAGCATCATACATATCAAGGTGAGCTGTGTTAAATATTATGGTATTGTATGCATGCTCAAAGGCCAAAGCATGGCCTGTGAGCTGAGTTAGTGAGACTGTTGCGGTTGAAGGGAAGTTGACATTGGCATTGCATGGCGTCGATCGATCTTTGCGACTTCTTCACTACTCTTGGTAGACTACATACTCGCGACAGGCATGAAGTACCCGAATACGCAGCTGCAAGTTTTTGGTGTATTTTTGACTTCTACTCCAATGGAAATTGCAGATTAGGACGTGCATTTTCGGGTACTTGTTACCTGCTGCGAGTACTCTACAGGCCTCCGAATTGCTCTCCCGCTGCAACTATCGATCCACTGGAAGCATCTTCTTGGCTGTTGGAGAAATATAAGACGATTTTCTTCACATATACACTATGAGATGTGAAATGAACATACATATGTAGTTGCCTGTTTCTTTACAACCCAAAAAAAGGAATAATGTGAAGCTTGCAGCTGATCAGGATAACCACTCTACATATCGTCTAGTGGCCGTTATCACTCAGATAGTAGAATGGAGTAACGACATGCGTAGTTATTCTCCATAACAGGCCTATCAGAGTTCATATGTCCTTCTCCTTTTTTCGTTTGCTGACAGCCCAGAAACATTGGCCCTCTCCTGCAGCCTAACCGTTGCGAGCATCCCTCCCAGCGAAAGAGAAAGCTGAAACTGCATACCTCCCGAGTCCCAAGTGATGCTATCCCACACCCATGGGCCAGGCCACAACACGCAAGATCATCGCAAATCAACATGTCGCAAAGCCAGCCCCAACCAGAGTTTGTAAAGCGCCCGCTCTACATTTCCGGTCTAGGCCATCCACCATCATATCGTCATTCCGTGAAACCGTCGATTCTAGAATCCCTATGCGGCGCGTGCGAGGGCCTGGCTCCGGTCCAGATAGTTTTATTTTCGTCATTTGAAGGAGGAAGGGACCTTTTGAAACAGAAACAAATTTCAGGTCCCAGTTTTGTTTTGGCTTTTTTGGACTATCAAACTAGAACTCTAGAGTATTGGAGTGGTCTCGACGGGCGGCTGCTCTGCTCTGTTAGGTCCCTTCAGATAGTTGATTGATTGATTTGGAAGTGAGTCGACGTAGGGGCGACGTGGGGGCGAGCGATCATTTGATATTGTGGGCACACTCGATATCCTCGTTGCAGCTTACGATCTCCAGTAGGGAAAAGAAGAAAAAAAGAGCTAACCTGGAGGCTGGGAACTCGTTCCCCTACACACCTGCTCTAACTACTCATTAGACATGCTGCACGCAAGAAGCATCCTGATCCAATTGAGACCCAGGTACCTTACACATGGCCGGTGGTGAGCGGTAGGCAGGTTGCAACTTGCAATCGTCCATCACCCCAAGTCCCTCCAGATCATGTAGGTACACTACTAGTGCATACCTACCACCAACAGCACTTGGGAACGCCAATCGCGCGCGCCGCGCGCTGGCGTACAATTGATCAGCTTAATTCCAGAATCTCTTGGCAGAGCGGGAACATCCGCCCTCGATGTGTGGCCGGCGGCCATGCGAGACATGAGACATCACGCACAGGGGTAAGCTAAGAACCAAAGAAAAGTCTCCAAGATACTTGGGATGGGATGAACCATGAGTTAGGTCTCTGGGAACCCCCATGAGCTGATATTTCTACTTTAGAGTACAGTGCCTACTAGTATACAGCGACCGGAATGATCTATGGAAAAACAGCGGGGGTGAAATTGTATGGCGAAATATCTGTGCGCCATATAACTGTTTTTTCCATAGATCATTCCTATCGCTGTACATACTTCTATAAATACAGTATATCGGGGCAGGTAACAAGAACCTGAACATAAAAACGCGCTAGCAGGGGTCAAAGTGGTTGCTACCAGAAAAACGATGTTCAGGTTCTTCATGCCTACCGCGAGTATCTAGTTCCCATCCGCCCGAGTGGACGAACGACTGGGCTAACTAGCTTTCAACAAAAACAAAGTCCATCTGTCCGCAAATAGCGACCAATTATTACAGCAACGTCAATCCTTGAAACTCCAGAAAAATGATGAATGCCCCATTCCCCCCCCCCTCCCCTCCCCATCCCTCGGTCCCCGCCCCCAACCCCCCTCCCAAATAAGTCGTAGTGTAAACTCCAGCCCTTGCCCTTTATGTATACCCGAATCCCAAAAAACCAAACCAAAACCAAACCCGAAAAGGAAAGAAAGAAAGAGAAAAAATAAGGAAGTTAACAAAACAAAACAAAAATAAAGCCAAAATCGAAACAGCAGAAAAACCGAAAACCAAGAGTATGGGACAAATAATCTCCACTACCTAGGGTCATACAGTTAGTTTCAACCCGAACCTTTGGTGCCCAAATATGGGGTAAAAACATGTGGGGGAAAAGATATCCTTACCTATAGCAAAGACCCGGCACTCTGGTTAAAGGAAGGGCACTGTCGAAATATCGACAGTTATCTGCTGAGGATTGCATGGGGACAACAAATAACAAAATAAAAAAATCCTCAAAATTTCACTCAACAACCAGCTTCATCTCTGATCCCTCTGCCTCCGCCTCCGCCTCCACAGCACCAAACTGCGAATCATCCAACGCCATGGGCGGATGGCACTCCGGTATCGTCTCCAGCACCATGGGCGGATGGCACGCCGGCCTCAACAGCCACCCCCTCCTCTCCTTCCTGACCCTCTTTTCCACCTTCTCCTTCTCCCCCCTCGGGCCCCTCGGATTCTTCTTGACCCTCTTCTGGCGCTGTATGGTGACGATCTCGAGCTCCTCCTCCTCCAACTCCCCCTCCCCCCTCGCCTTGGGCTCGTCCTCGCGCCGCCGCTTCTTGGGAATGCGGTACTGGATCTGCCCGCTGCTGCGGATCTGCCGCATCCGCGACATGAGTGAGTTCAGGTTGATGTTCTCGGGGTCCGGGTACTCGTCCGGGTCCAGCGCTGCGGCGGCGGGGGGCACGAAGCAGTGGTCTTCGAGGCGGATGTTCTCCAGCTCAGATTTCAGCGAGCAGTTGCTCGCCAGGACGCCATGCGGGGATCTCGTGCTGCTGCTGCCGCCGCCGCCGGAGAGGAATTGACGCGGGATGTTGTGTGTATCGAGTCTGCTGCTTGGGTTTGTTGGGGACGGGGGAGGAATAATGCCGGTCTCACCGGTAGTGGATGATGGGGCCGCCGGCGATGGTGATGGGCGGCGGAGGAGCGGTGGGGGAGCGAGTGGCCGGTTTGGGTTTGGGGAGCCGGACGGGTGGGTGGACATGTTTGCATAATATGCATGTGGTACGGGATGGGATGGGATTTGTGGGTGACCAGGTGGGCGGGTGGGCGGGTTGGTAGTGTGCGGGTGGGTGAGTAAGTGAATTGGATTGGATTGGATTGGATTGGATTGGATTGGATAGGTGGATTGGAGTGGAGACGGTGGGTAAAGGACGTAAGATAACAGCTATCGCAGGCAAATGGTATTGCTATTGCGGTAATAATACAGGCAGAGCTAGAGGGTCCTTATAATAAGTGTGTATAAACCTGCTTATATATATCCAGCCAGGTCCGGTAAGTTCCCTTCTCCTCCTTCTCCAAGAAAAGGGTATGTGTGAGTCGAAGAGGCAGAGCACCACACACAAAAAAATAAACAAAAAAGAAGGGAGGGAAGAAACGATGGATAATATAGTGGCGGTTGGATCTCCTCCGGCCTCTCCTCGTCCCCAAACAAGATCCTCAGTAACCTAATACTAGTAGGTATACCGTATGGGGGCAGGCAAAGCAGTACGTCTCCAAGCTCACTGATCAACGGCCAAGGATCGGGGTTGGGATATAATAATAATACCCAAAGCAAATATCTGAGCACCGACTCGACTGATCTACTCTACTCGGCGAAGGAAGGGGGTGGTGGGAGGGAGTGGGCAGATTCTTATGAAAGTGAGTGAACCAGGTGTTCGGGTTTCCCAGCGATTCGAGCTACTGTGTAGTGCGGTGTGGGTGTGTACGCAGGGTGTGCGGTGTGTGTGAGGGTGTGGGTGTGTGGGTGTGTGTGGGTAGGGTTTAAGTTTAAGTGGCCTGTCTGTCTATCTCAAGCGAAGTCCCAGAGCACTGGGTACGTAGGGGAAAAAAGGGAAATGCAAGATAAAAAACACAAAGTAACCAAACCCAAGGCCAGGTAAGGGGGGGTGGTGGGGAGGAGGGAGGGTTTTTGAACTTTGGCTGGTTGATCGGGTCGGGTGCTTCAGTGTGCTGCTAGAGTAGGTGGGCATGCCTCATGGCTCATGCTGCAGATAAACAAACACAAACCCAAAAGAAATAAAAAGCGCTTCCGTGCCCAGCAACCCCCAACTTAACCCAACACCCCGGGCATGATGTGGAATAAGGAGGAGGGAGGAGTGCGGCGGTGGAGGAAGAGGAGGAGGAGGAGGAGGAGGATGGAGGAGGGATGTGTGTGGTGTGCATGCTGGGGGTAGACAGTACCTATCTGATAGTACTCTAATGCGCTTTCTATATATGTAGTTAGTACCCTTTCCTTTTTTACCTGTGGTGGTGGATCATTTCACGGCCGGCCCATCGGGGAATTTCAATTTTCTGGTAAGTTTTATGTTGTACATATTGTTGTTGGTCCCGGTAGTTTTGATGTCCGTGGTTATATTCTCTCTATGTAGCTCTAGCTCTCTTTTTCTCTTTCTTGCTGAATTCGAATTGAAATATCCTCTTAGTAGCAGTAGGCTAATATTCTTCCCTATCTATTCTTCCGACTTCTCGTTCCCTGTCTCTCCGGCTCCAAGATTGATCCTCAGACAGTCATTCTAGTCCTACCTACCTAGCTAGTACAGTCCGACTCCTACTCATACTACTAGTGCTAGTAGAGTAGAGTAGAGTACCTACTGCTTACCTTTTCCCTCGGCATTCCTTTCTACGTAGAGTATGTAGTACTTGTTCCATGGCTCAGCTCACTCACTCGGTGCTAATCATACTCTAAGTAGAGCAGATACGTTCCAAATTCTCTTCCCTTTCCCAAAACCAAGACCTGCGCCCCCACCAGATTAACGTTGCGTAAGTCCCAGTATCCCAGTAGATATAAATTGTTCACTCTTCTCGCGTGATTCGCCCAGCGGCCCCAGCCTGCATATGCATTCCCCTCCATAAACGAAACCCGCAGCGTCATCACTCTGTGCGGCCGGTCGGTATCCAATGGCCACTATCCACCAACCACAAACCCCAAATAAAAAAAAAGAATAAATAAAAGTAAAAGTAAAAAAAAAAAAAAAAACCGTCAACGGGTTCCGATTACCATAATCTGCGACCACACGTGTGCGTGAGAGGTGAATTACCGCCATCCATGTCGGTGGGTCGATCGAGTGGCCGACGGGGAAACACGTATGTAGAGTTACCGTACCGACAGGGCAGGCACCATCTCGTCTCGCCAGGCAGGCGGAACGGACCAGGCAAGACAATGGGCATCGAACCCGCTGTTCCCTCGCTCGGGATTTGGGAGCAGAGAACGAGTCAGGTTGTTGGGATTCCGGTCAAGAAGCTTCTATCTTTCCCGGTCGATGTCCATGGATTGGCTTGTTGCGTTGCTTTCCGTACATCAGACGTCGACCGCCGACCCGTGGGTAGGGATGGGGAAAATCAGCTTTGGAAACGATAGTATTTCGGTACTCCAACCGGAACCCTAAACATTTGACATTCTTTACGTGGCTGGCTGGATTGAAGAAAAATCCCCTGCATACCTGCCTGAGACAATATATTTTTATGAGGCTCATGATCATCCCACTACTCACATTTCTGTTTCTGTGGTCAATGTGGAGATTAAAATATCATCATCACCTTAACCTCGTCCTCGAGCCCTGCCCTTGGGATCCCCCCACGTCGAGCAGCAGCAGCAGCTCAGGGGGCCCAGTAGCCTGGGCCAATCACGTGATGTTGAAATTCGGAGCAGGTCTAGACAACGATGAATAGATATGAAAAAGCCGGTCGGTTTGATATTTGTTTTGTGTGCGCAACCGGGCGTCCAGCAATAAAACCGGGATAGGTAAGCTAACTCGAGACGCCCTATCCACCACATATCATTGCGAAAAAAGCTTGGGCTTGTCGGATATTGAGAGTACCACAACAAATAACCCAGCTGAGGTTGTTGAAGGTCAGGCACCAACCCACAATCCCGGACCCCCATATTGGGGGCCCGCTATACCATCCAGATTCTGGGATTGTCGGCCGGTATTTAATGGGGTGAGGGCAAATATGCATATAAATTCTGTTCCGTGGGACGCTGGTAGTGGCTCCGGTTGGTGAGGGACGCTTTATTAGGGGGCGGTTGTATAACGGCGGGTTATTTGGCCCTGCCATGGGCGCTGTAGAGTAGGGAGATAGAGTAGTACACCACTCCACGCGGGTACATTGCCCAGTAGCAAACACAGGTTGCGAAACAACTCGAGTTCCCAGCTGTGGGTTGTTTATTCGGATGTGTTACCCGCAAAGCTCCAACCATTATTGGCCCAGCTATCATAGTAACCAGAGACAAAAGTAAACACCCACCCCAGCGAAGAGCGCTCACCAACAGCCCGGGTGGACTGCTGGATTAGTATCTGGTAGACATCACCAAACTCCCAGCGTGACCCAGCAAACCAAACCACCGTTCGCTTGGCTTCTACATGACACAAACAAATCAGGGCTCCCCATCCGAAGGATCAGCACGTAGCGAACCAGCAACACAACAGCAGGTAATATCAGTGCGCCGGGACGCGGGGGGTTGGATACTGATTTAGCTAGAGCAGGAAAACAGTAGCTACCTGGTACGTGGCACTGGGTTGATAGGATGATTGATCCGGTACCAGATATTGGGGTGTATGCTGTCGTCGATACGAGACAAAAATATTTACACGTAACGTTACCAAAGCCATTTTCCACAGGCAGAGTAATCCCCATAGCTGGCAACCGCGGTGCATTGTGAGTGATTACTTTGTGTTCGTTCCGTTCTTTTCGTTCGATCTGAGCAGAGACTTGATATCTGATGCCCCCACCCCCATGACGAGGCTAATAAAACTGAGACTTCTAGGAGATTTGCGACTTTGGGGAAATCTTATCTGATAATCGGGCGAGGCACCACAGGACACTCGTATCGATCCACGGGATTGGGGTCTTGATCGAGATGTTGTGTGTGTCTTTGAAAAACATAGATGGAGGAGGAGGAAGAATGTTGACGAAAGAGCTCCCTGGGGCCGTGGTGAAATCTTTTCAGTTCTAAAGCTATGTTACTCTTCGACTGTGTCTCGGAGGTACGTCTACGTTGTCTTCGGCTTTAGACAGAGTGTTCTACGGCCGTGGTGGTCTTTTCGGTCATGTTGTTGTTGCTGGTGGTACTTGGCGTGCTCTACAATACCCGCGGGATGCGGTACGGCTGCACCGGATTTGTTAGCACTAACGGCCTGGAACTACAAGTACGTGCGTAGTGTCTGTATCTACACGCACTACTAGTAGAAGCTATTCTACTCTCCACCATGCACAATTGTGCCACGGAGTACAGTACGTGTGATTGAGCATCTAGAATTAGCACCCGCCGGTCGATATATGTAGCAGGTATATACAGAGTAGTTATCTATTCTAGAAAAAGTCAGATCCTACGTGTAAGTGTAGTTACTGCTCTACATATATGTCGTTAACTAGAGCACCATCCAGAGTCCAGCATGGCATGCACGTCCAAAACCCGACTTCCAAACCCTTGCCATGCTCATATGCACGATGACGATCCCCGATTCCTGGCCCCCGATTTCTCTCGAACGGTCCAAATCGATAACCGCACGTCTGCCCATGCACATCTGCACCCGCCGGATAAAAGCCCAACGGTAGATACATGTATATGTACCGAACCAAAAGACTCCACCCCTTCCCTACATCATGTATCCATGTATCCTGTACCTGCAATCTACTCAGGTAACTTCACTGCAAGAACCGTCAGGATCAGGAGCTGGGTAAAAAAAAAAAAAAAGAAAGCACTCTCTCCACCAACAAGCTTGGAGAAATCCGCGGGTGATCCCATGGCAATTCAACTCTTCCGTACCGGCCGTTCACTGTACATATCTACCGTACCATGGAAGGGAGCAACTGCAACTGGTTTGGATATTAGGTAGGTACATAACGGACTGCCGGAAAACCGAACATCCAATAGTTCTCCCGTCCTCCACAGACACCGACACCGACGGCTGCACGATATCAATTTCCATATCATATATATGAGATCTTCACTGCAACACCTCCAGAGCGGTGGTCCATGTG